ATAGTACAATCATATAAACTGTACAATTCCCAAATTTTAGTTCTGGACTTAAGAACAGAAGAGCTTCAATACCCACTAAACACCCCAGAGTTATGTAAACAGCACAATAGTGATTTTTGTCGAACGGACATCTGTGTCACAGTAAACCTAATAGTTTTCTCATCTTGGATATTTTCTTTAAAAATGGCGCTAATATGAGTTTAGTGTCAGGGTGTGATGCAGTTTCGAGCACAGCGAGACTGTCACGCCCACACACTAGCGCCTTGCGGGTTTGGTAGAGAAAACAGAAGTTAAGACTCAAGGGGCTGCTGTTAGGCAGCTGAAACCGGAATGAGTATCGATTTGGTGGGGAGGCGTCGCCTTCCCACAGTCACAAGGAAGCGGCGGGAATCTCTGCACTTCTCTTTCGCGGAGGGAATTTTGGCTGGATAATCGAAAGCATTCAGGCCAAAGGTGAAGACACATTGGAGTGTCAGCGCTCTGGGGGCCGAGGTATAATAAGAGAGTCACTAGGTGGGGCCTCCCTCCCCTCCCCCAGAAATGACAGCACGAGAGGAAGGGTGGGAAAAGCTGAGATCAGCACTAAGTCCAAACACACTGAAGGCGCCCGAGCGGCTCGCACCCCGGTGCAGTGGGCAGGGTGGGGCGCGTGCCAAACAAAGAGTTCGCTGTCCACTGCATAGCACTGTCCGGCAATAAGAACACCCCAAGGAAGAACCAGAGTCTAGCTAAAAGGAGAAGAGGGGTGGGGCATTTATGGAACGCTATAACAATTTGGACCAATAGGAAGGGGAAGAAATGACTTAAAGCAGAGACATGGATAGGTTGGTGCATGACAGACTCTTAATTGGAAATGACGGATTGAGGGGCCCTAACACTGTGAGATTTATAAGCAGCTGGGCTACGGAAATAGCTCAAAATTTATGTTACTATGTTTAAATGCAGTGGAAGGTGATGAATAATCTTTTTAAACCACTGTATAAATTAATGGTGCCAGTTTAGAGCCTTTGAATAGCTCTTCGGAAGAATTTCTCTCAAAGTAAATCTAACAAAATGAGCGTTTTGAGTTTCCTGTCCCCGCGGCTGTCCGCGGCAGAGCCTGTGTTTAAAGGTCACTGAGGGGCCGTGCGCGCCCAACACCGCATCTAGAGGACCTGGGGCTGCACCTCAGTCATGTAACTGGAATTCTGCGGCGCATGAGTACTCGTGTCCACGTGAGTCGTTTGCACCCGGACATCCTCTGTGCTCCACCGCTTGGAAGGGCCTGCCGATGAAAAAGAAGCGTGCTCCGACGGGCAGAGAGTATTGTATCTCCACGCATCCATTCACCCGTGCAGAAGGGATGCTGCATTTCACTACTCAGGGCTGACACTGCAAAAAGCAACTATTTGGGAAAACGGCCCGTGACCTGTGTACTCCTCCCAAACTCTCCCAGGAGTGTGTGTGATGTGTGATCGTGAGAGATTAAGCCTGTGGTGAATTTCACAGGTATTACCATCATTTTAGCCCTAAATTAGGAGAAAATGGTCAAAACCAATCTATTTATATTATGGATGAAAAACTAGTAGATTTTGATGTTAGTATAATTATTACCCGATTATAAGTGTTGATTTAGCAAGCATTACAAAACAATGCGAACACCTGCATTCATCTACAGCAATATTTGAGTAAGCAAACTCATAAACGATGTAGGGGATTCTCATTAGCCCATTTCACCCTGATCCTGGATTTGTGAATTGACCTTTCCAGAAATTTGCCAGATTCAGTTGATAAAGCTGCCTTTCTTTCTGCATTATGACCCAGCACCAAACCATTTTTTCTCCTCTGTACCTCTGATACATGTCAGGTGTCTACATTTTTTTAAACTGTCTAGATGAAATTACTGCCTTCACTCTTAAAAACGCATATCATTCCATTGTACTTGTTCTCAGATGAAGGCTGGAGCCGATTTGGTAAAAAGGAAAAGGTTGTTACGGGTCTGAGTGCCTGGAAAACTTGATCGACCCTCGTTGATAAATTATGAAGTGGGGATCCTCATTTTTCATCACTGGTTTCTCTTACATCGCCCGTTGTCATAACAATGACCAGCAGCTCCATTCACCCCTTTCCTAAAACAAAAGGTACATTATGCTACTAGCACACTTTAAATATTTTGAACCAAATGTCAGCTCATTAATAAAACTATTAATAAAAAAAATCTTTGTCAGAAGCGAAAGGAAAAAAGATAATTCCTTCATCTCCTTTAGGCAGGTGAGAGTAAGCCTGTGAATTGGCCGTCCTGGTACCACTCGGTGTCCATTTCGCTGGATACAGTTAAACTGTAGCGCTAATCAGTCTGGGCAAGATTCTGAAAACTGCAGAATATTTTATACTCTTAAAACGAATTACATATTAAGAGTTTGTGTGGGGTGGTATGTACAGTACTGCAAAAGTCTTTGGCAGTCAAAAGAAATGTTTAAAGCTATTTGTCTGGTCTAGGACGGGGGTGAACAGGTGGTTTGAGTCAGGTATGCTCTCCTACTTGGAATGTAACAGTGTACATTTGCTCAGAACAAAAAAAAACACAATTTGACATTAGAACGTATTCAAATTAAGAGTAACTCAATAAAAACTAGTAAATATTTCTTCTGTTGGATGGCTAGAGGAATGCCACCACAATTCCCAAACATCTCCCCTATGGGCCCCCCAGCCATTCCATGTATTTATTAAATTTCACCAACCGGGCTCATGTAATAAATTTAGTTAAAAAGTCAATGAAATATTGATTCGCTATACGAGTTGTGCTAGTGGTCGAGTCAAAAGATACATTGGTGTGTTGTATGGTTGCTGGAAATACTGGGGTGATTTTAGCAGAAGTTTTGAAATGGCTAAGCTGACATGCTTTGACGGGCATAATAGCATAGTTTTACACCAGCATAAAGATCATTTAAACATCATTTATGGCTGCCTAAGACTTTTGCACAATACTTTATATTGGCATTCACATCCACTGACACCGAACTGGACTTCCTTTATGACATCATCAACACTGTCAGTGACACATACTGACAGGAAGAGCGTAGCTCTGAAACAGGATACTGGGCAAAGGGCTGTTCAGGGAAGCAGGGTCTGTTACCCAGAAAGGAAGAGCATTACATCACAGTGTTGGTGGAAGGCATGTGGGAGGGATGGGGATCCTTTAGCAGGAAATGGGCGAAACCTTGGCAGAAATGATTTTTCAGGCGCTTTGTACTCTGAAGGAAGCATCTCCTGAAAGCACAGCCTATTGGTTTCCTGTTGTGAAGTGACAGTTTTAGTTTGACCAGATGTGGACGGGAAGGGAAGGTGACCCAGGATTGCTGGAAGATTCCTTTCGGAATCTGCGGTCAGCTGTGGTAAATCTTTCCCTGTGCGCTGGCAGACGGCAAAGCCCCCACGACCGAACGCAAAACGGCCTGAGTTTTCATTTGGAACGAAAAGGCTTGGCAGAAACAGTGACCCTTGGCTTACCGCCCGACAGGATCGCTTAACCTTTACGCTCTTTACATGGGTGACCTAATGAGCTTTCACACCTTAGCTTGGTTTAGATTCACCCCCCCATTTGTCAGCAAGGGATGCACTATTTTACCGAGGCTTTGTTCATCGCCTCTGCTACTCACGCCTTGAGGTAGGCCTGCATGACTGAGATACGGCATAGAGACCGTAAACAGGAACAGGGGTCAGCATGGAAATGGTACTGAGATTACCCCAGTTCACCATACCAGCCTGTCGTGTGTAGTGGTCATCTGGTTTAATGGTGGGCTTCTAGAAGCACCAGCGTTCAATAAAAGCAGTTTAATAGCCGGTTAAAACAGTGTAGACTTTTTTCCAAGTCAAATTCATTGGCCAAACTCGTCTTCCAGATCCTTTGTGTATCACACGTCAGAACCTGTTTCGTGGGCATTCCTTTGGCTCATTGTGTCTAGAACAATCAGTTTGTTGTAAATACAATGTAAACAAATATCTCAACTTCCAATTCAAGCACTTCATCTTAAAAAATGCACAGAGTTTACTATAGGATTTTACCTGGGGTTAACCCTTTTTGTCATGTCCTGCTGACAAAACCCAGACTGGGTGCTCCAAGTGTCACATGCTGCTGTACCAGTGAAAGCTCCACAGTGAATATTTGGATTTCTTTGACAAAGACTCAATTCATATTCAAAAGTCACATGGGCGTCAATGACTGTACTGAAGCTAAACTTCTACACTGGTTTGTGATATATTGTTTCCAAAGTCATTAAATGTTATGGAAATGTTAACTTAAATATCAACGCTGTCCTGACTTGAGGCTGAAACACTGACTATCTCCATACCCTGATGATGCTGCCATATATTAATTATATCTTTTTGGTTGCCACCATAGTTGGACACCATTCATTATTTATTATATTTTAGTTTCAGTCATGGAGTGGTATCCTATCTAGGGTGTTCCCTGTGCTTTCTGAGGCAGACCCCAGACTCACCTCAACCATACATTAGATAAATAGGTATGGAAAATGCCTGGATGGGTGGAAGGATGTTTGAATCTATTTTCTGAAGCAATGTTTCCCAACTCAGTCCTTGGGGAGCCCCAGACAGCCCACATTTTTGCTATTTCCTACCTCGCAACACACCATTACTAGGTTTTTGGAGTTTTTGATTGGCTGGGCGTCCCCAAGGACTGGGTTGGGAAACACTGCTCCTGAGAATACTCACTGCACTTAGAGTAACAGCAATGTTTTTTTTTTTTTGTAGTAGTGAAATCTTAATATAACCTTACTTTTAAACAGTGCCGTCGACAGCCTAATTGTCTGTAAATTTCTTAATATATTCATACTACTATTATTCATCCATTCATTCCTTTTTCATGTTATTGGAATGCAGGCACAGTGATGTCACTCAGCGCGATAACTTTATCAATGAAACAGCCAAACCAGTCTTACTCTTGATCTACTGACCCTCTGAATATCTTAAAATCTGAATACAAATATGGAAGCAGCAAATATGAGAAACAACATTTTTAATATTTGAAATAAATACTCCGATACATGCATGAACAAAACACATTAGAAAGACTAGTAAATCTGGTAAATAGTGTGAAACACTGACAGCAGCGTTTATCCGGTAAATTTCACACATGGATCAGAACGCGGGGCATGGCGGTCCCGCCCCCACCTCATTTACACAGCTCAATTACTTCCATGGATCACCGTGTCATAGGTCAAACGAGTGAGGCTACATCCATCTGAAACTGAGGTAAACTTTTCCGGGTTTAATTCCTTATTCCGACGAAAAAAGGAAAAGGTGGGAGGATCGACAACAGATTCTCACCAGGGTCACTGGGCTGTTTTTGTAAAGGATTCAATCACAACCAGTGTGAGAACACCTCAAGTCTGCCGACCGCCCCAGGGCGGCCTGGGAAAGGGGCGGACCCAGTCTCTTTGGCATACGGGATTGCGGTCAGGAAGTAAAGGTTGCTTACACTGAGAAGGGTTCAATTCACAGAATGGGAGTTGACTGGCGGCAGAGTCCGTGGGGAAGACCGTTCCCTTAGTGCCTGTGAGAGAAGATTGCAGCCATCCGACACAGCAGATGCAGAGTTCCGCAGGCGCTCCCGGTAGTCGGCCATCTTGGTGCTGTTTTCTGGAAGCTGGGATATGTCCCTGAGGCCTTGGGACAGGTGGACGCAGGCAGAAACGACACTCATGGCCCCGCCGAGCACGGCTGTCATCACCGCTTTGCCCTCGGGGCTCACGCAGGCCGGCCGGCCCAGGAACTGCGGCTCGGTGGCGAAGCCGACCAAGGCATGCACGGCCTGTACCAGCGGCCCGCTGAAGAGCACGCAGCGGTTCCTCGTCAGCTCACTTGGCGACGTCTTCACCTCCTTCACGCAGGCCAGCAGTGCCGTGGCGCTCGTGCTCATGCACTTGACACCCAACTTAAACTGGTCTTTGGCAAAGCGATCCTTGGACCTGTCACTGGCCTGAACCGAGGCATCGGTCAGCGTCTTCAGGTTTCTGGAGATGCTCTGCGACACTTCCAGGAGGAGCTGGGGGGTCAACTCGGCCAGGGCCGTGACCCGGAGCACGCTACAGCTCTGCTCCACTTCGTGTCGGCAGCGTGTCACCTTGTAGCGGTCCACCAGGCCTGGGAGGGCGGGTTGGGAGCCTGGCATCTCCACGGCAGCCAGGTAGGCAGCGTGGGCGGAGCACTCAGTCAGCGAGACCACTAGGTCTCCCATCTCCAGGAGACGGTCCCCCACCTCGGCAAAGCGGCCCATATTTAGCTGGCTCTGTATGTCATGTGTCAGGATGGACAGCTCCTTGGTGCGGGCGATAACCGTGTCCCGGCACTGCTCAAAGGTCTCAGCCACGGAGAGCCCCTCGCTGGTGAGGACGGGCCTCGTCTCACTGGACAGCAGCAGCAGGTCGGCCACCAGCTGCATCTTGCCCTTGCAGGTGTCGGAAACGGACGACAACCTTCTCCTCAGTTGGGAGCTAACGCTCAGGGAGCTGGAACTCTCACTGCCAGACCTGCCCGAGCCCCCACTGGCCATAGTAGGGTGCTCAGTCTGAGGTTCTGGGGTTTCTACAAAGATTAATTTTGATGTTCACTCCACAGCCTGTACCTTAGGACATTTTCATTCAGTTAAATGGTGTCACCTTGCCTGCCAAAAACAGAATCTAAAAAAGCAGTAAATCTCTTTAGAATACAGCTGTACACCATGCTACACATTTGAACCCTTGAAATCGTCCCGTGGCATTGATTTTTAACGCAAGCTAATTAAACAAGTGAGATGTATTATAATATTTCAAAGTCAATAAGCCTGTTTGCCACAAGTGGGATTTCCCCAAGAGAAGGCAAAGCTTATCTGAGTGGTGGAGGGGATACTTAACAGATTTCTATTTTGTAAGTCACTCTTTTACAGTTAGGAAATGTTTTGTCAAACAATTATAACAAGACGTAACTAAAATAAATCCCTTTAGGTAATACCATTTAGCTTGCTACAATTTTACTTCAAGACAGGGTACATGTACTTGTTTGAATGCCCTTGGTGTTAATGTCACTGGCTGCCCCCTTAAACGACCACTTAGCTCCTATTTACTAAATAGAACTAGGCGGGTTCAACTTGTATTAATCAGATGTAGTAATATCCTCGGTATAATGGTCTGAACAGTAAGAAAAAATACAGTGCCTCTAGAATGCCTTAATTCGGGCAAATTAATTTGACAAAAATATTTTAGAACTATTATCTGGTGGACAAAAATATATATGTACTGTAAAAAGTCTCTTGGAATTGCTCCTAAAAGGGTTTTGGTTTAAAAATGACAGTCCTTTGCGTTGACTCCTTGCCTGCTGCATCAGAGACACCTGCTCCGAGACTTGCCGGCGGGGTTAATCCGTGCGGCCCGGGGAGGGGGCGGCCCGCTTCGTGCCCCTCGATCCCCGGCCACCAGCGGAGCTCCGATCGGCCGCGCCTTTCCCCACGTCGTCATCCCAGCGACCTGCCCAGACAGAAGCCCGCGGCCGGGCAGCAGGGTGCCCTGTGGCCCTTCGGCCTCTTCTTCTTCGCGCACGGCCCCGCATGCATATCTGGCGTCCTCAGCAGAAAGCGAGCCGCCGGCTTTCGCTTTTGATATCCATCTTACGGCCGCATCCCCGTCGTCTCCGCTGCAATTCCCCGTCCCCTGCTCTCCCGTCCTCCCTTCAGGGCAGAAGTCGTGTTCCGCTCGCTCGGGAGCGCCCCGGCCGCATCTCCCCGTATCAGGAAGAAGAGGAGGGTGTGGCCGGCGGACGGGAGCGCTCGGTCCGCCAGGCGCCGCTCAACTTTCAGTCGCAATAAAAATTCGGCTCAGATCCGCTCGGCTTCCGCTTTTCGGGGTCTCTACTCCGGTGCGCAAGCTGCCGTCCCACTGCTGATGCTAAGGTCGCCCGGGTCCCGCCGCGGGCTAATCTCCGTGCCACCGTTCGCCCCTTCCCGAGGCCCCGACGTGGGTGCACTCGCAGCACCGGCGGCAGGGACAAAAAAGTTACCAATTTTTAAAGCACCAAGGTAAGGCTCCTACATCAGAGTCGGCCGCCCGTCTTCTGTCCTTCTCCGGGATTTTTCTCCCACAAACGGGTCAGTTTAAACAGCGTGCGCGGATTGCCGGTGTGTCATGCGGCTTCCCTTGTTCAAAGTTTGCCTTCCCACTCCCGGAGACTCGGCTCTAAGCTCTCGCTGAGCGTCGCCGCGGCCTCGGCGTAACTTTTAATTATGTGTTGCTCGTACCCGCTTTCGCCATAAATCTGAATTCAGCCCGTACGGCGCAAACACGCGTCAGATCTCTTCTGTCGGCCGTAAATAATACGAGGTCCGACGCCGGCTTTGTTTACTGCACCGCGCACTGAAGTTACTGCCGGTTTTATGGCGTCCAAGAGAAATTTAAGGCCCGGTGTCGGCGGTCACATAGCGATGACGTAACCGAGCTGTAAAAGCGATACCAAATTAATGCAGCTTCACGATGGAGGTCATAATTTTTTAATTTCATAATCTTACCAGCTGTAGTTACACTTACATATTTAATAGGATGCATTGGGTTTTTACGATAAAGGATCCGGTAATACTTTACCGTTACAGTATCTCATGTATAAGTATTTTCCCCCAGAAATTATGTATTACGAGGATGTTATATTCTGGATAGCTACTTATCTCAAATTTTGATGCTATTACATTTGCCTTTGTATTTACCTGTTCTGGGATGTTTATGTAATTTTTTCAGAACAAGGTGCGAATTAGTCCCACAATAGTCGAGATATTGATGCTTTACTTGTTCCAAATATGTAATATGTAAACATATTTGCATAATAATGCATCTTATATTTTATTATTATAGTTCATCACATGATTTGCAGTTTTCATGTACAAAACTGACTGCATATTCTACGGCCGCAGTGCATTTACAAATGCAAATTACTGGCATATTTGGAAAATAAAATCCACCCTACCGCGGGTGGTTACACGTTTCAGGAGACTGAGATCCACAGTAAAACCCTGGGCGGTGTAACTTGAGTCTACGCCTTCTGCGGCGAGCATGACGTCACTACACAAAACCGCTCCGATCGCTGCACTCAAAGAACGCTGGGGATGTGATCTGACCAATCGGGAACCAGCAGGAGGTGGGAACTATTTGTTCGTCACGCCCACTGTAGGCGTCTGTCAACCGTACCGATTTTTCGGGATTCTGTACTTTTTATAGTGCGAAACTGAACAAGGAAAAAGGTATTATAAATTCACATGAATGACTGGAAATGCGCTGTAATACAAGAAATCGAATTCCATACATAGAAAAAACAGCATGTTCATTGCTACTTTATCAGTTAAGTTCATCTGTAACATGATCATGGTGTATGGCAATAGTCTTTAAATATAATACTCCGATATTGTGGCAATCTAATGAAGATAAAATCAGTCTAAGAATAGGCTATCCGTCTTAAGTCAGTTGATGATGGGGATCCATAATGATTATCTTATTTTACAGAAGTGCTTCGATATAAGTTAGTTACAAAAGGTCATCGAAATTGTCAGGTCCCATCCCAAAGTTAACCGATGCTTTACTGTAACGAAGCACTACTCTTACCACAAGCTGTGCATTGTCCGTCACACAGCTGCAAAGGCACCGTGCCATTAGGTGGGGCGTCCTGTGAGGAAATCGCTCTTTCTGTTTTCTTTAAACACACGTGACGATCAGAAGCATTCAGCTGCAGAGCGGCTCAGACGCTGCAAGATCCGCAGGAAAGTCGGCGGCTCGTTTCGCTTTCGATGTTGCGTTTATATATCTCAGGAGTAGGAATTAAGTCACGCACTAATAACCGCTTTTCTCATTTTTGTGTCGTAGCCTTTAAGAAAGGACAAGTGCTCAGTCCCATTCGACGTTCTTACACCACACTTAAACGGGATATTCTGGAAAGTACTCTCTACATGGCCAAAGCCATTCGTATCAGCAAACTTATGTTTTGGCAAAAATGCAATTGTTGGCCTTGAGTTATATACGAATTGGTCTGAGTTCGCTGTATTGTATAAATGCTTAATTTTGTATTCCTGTTTAAAAAAACTGTCCCGCATTACCATGCATTAAGTTATACTTAACAATATGACAGTTATCTTTAACAAAATAAAATTTGAATTTTGACATGGAGCCACAAATAAAGTGTACGCAGCAACCGAAAATATACTATGGTAATCTTAAAGCGTATATAATTTATTTAGATGTTTTTGTGTGCTCTTATTTAGAGTTTAATGCATCGTCCATCTCCCAGGTGCTTTCTCAGACAGGGTTGAGGGGGCGGGACTGCAGCAAATCCCAGGCAACAAGGAAAGGGAAAACCCCACACAAACATGAGGAAAACACACACACACGCACACAGCAGGGGTGAGATTTCAGGTAGGACCCAACAGTGCTGGTCACCACGCCGCTCCACCACCTGTTTAACATATTATCTACATTAAACATTTAGGCTATAACAAGGTGTTAGTTTCTCTGTCGGCCTGTATATGTACCTTTTTTCCATGATCAAGCAGGATCTTACATTTTCCTGTACTAAGGTGATCAGCCCTGCTTTCCCTTCGCCCAGAAACGGCATCGTTCCATCCATGCAAGCATCTGGGTTTGCCATTGTCATTCTTAGGTATTGTGTGCATTTCAGTTACTGATGGTCATTGACGTAAATGAGACATGTCAGAGATTATCGCGTTAATCTACACCCTAACAGCTTCACGTGATTTATGTGTCAAGTTGCATGAACTTTGAACTTGACTCCAAGGCCAAATTTGGCGTGTGCGACGCTTCATTGTTGGAAAATGACAGGCAGCTTCCTTGTTTTGTTTCGGGAAGGAGCAAGATGACATGGGTGTATTAAAAATAAAAATGCAGTATGACAGTGAGGCTTTCACACTGCTCATCACACTCTCCGCCTGCATTGCTGTGTGAAACTCTCCGCTCAAGTCAGTCTACCCACACACTACATAGGTGCCCGTTCATCTTCCAACCTCTGCAACCAGACAGCGATGCAGAATAGTGTATACAAGTATTTCTCTGTTTCTACTGACTCACATGCATGCATTAAAATTACTGAAATCAAACTGAACTACAAATGCATGTCTGATAGCGAGTAAATAGTGTAATTCTAGTCTGACAGGTACGATAACCAGCTGGACCAGTGACATACTACTGATGTATGTAAACCACTTGGACATTTGAGTAAACTGATCCAATTTGCAGAGGGACAGTCATTTGCTTCTCTTTAGCAGATGGCCAGCAGTTTTCTCTGGGGGAAAAAAAGAAGCTTTAAATGGATTTTTAGGTGCAACTTTTGTCTAGTCACTTCAGAACAGACGTGCCCAGAAAGACTGACATTCTGAAGTAGTGACCACAACGGGGTGTACTGGTGAAGCGCTGTGTCCAAGTGCGAAATGCAGACATCGGTAACCCCAGGAATTACTTTCATGTTTTTGCTGATTGGAAAACCGGGCTACAAACGGAAACTAGATTGGGTTACTTTGGATGAAAACAGATGAAGCTTCCTTTGTTGTTGGGTGCGTGGAAGAAGCCTCCTGGTAACTAGAGGAGCCACAATCTTTTAGATTTAATTCAGCTCAATAGTCGATAATTTTTCCTTAATATGGTTCATTTATACTATTATGTACATTTACTTGCACCTTATCTATGTAAAGTATGGCTCTCTTCTTTTTTCCCCAGAGAAGGTCATAGCTCTTTCTAGAATCTTGTGTCCGGTTTGTTTTCTGGTGTTTTCCGTCGCTCTAACACTGAAATGGCTATTTTGTTTTGGTTCCTTTCCACCAGTTTGTTAAATCCATCTCAACTCCAGTAACTAAATAAAGTCCCATTCATCTTACCACCTCCGCATTCTTCTAAATTACTACTGTCCTTAGTATAGAACATAAGTTACAACTTTAATTCCATGTTATCCTGGTAGTAAATTAGAGGTGGACGCATTATTATGTCAGAGATGCATATTTTCCCGTATGGCCTTTACTGGCCGCTTATTGGGGCCTGTTTTTGCTCATTTTTGTTGTGCTTTTTGCAGAAGGCTGGTTGTATTGAGGAAGAAAACCTCCCACTTGGCAGGTTCCCTCACTGCGTCAATGGCCTTCTTTAAAATTAGCCCAGAGTACCCAGAAGGCAACCCAGAGATGCGAAAGAAAGGGAGACATTCGTTGAAAATCTGCTTGAGATGGAGACTGAGAAGGCCGACGTGTTTCCAGCGAGCCGCCGTGCGTGTGAACGTCCTGCAGACCGTGAAAACATGCTCAGCCTCTCACTGTTTGGCACTGCCCGGAATCCCGCAATCTTATCTCTGCACACGTGTAGAAGATAACCAGAAACATGGCGGTAATTTGAAATGTCGATTCAGGAAGTTGTTGCCGTGGTGAACTGAAGGCGAAGTCTGCTTTCCCACACAGCAGGGTCGCTGTGTGCCTCACTCACGCCGCTTTCACTCTAGGTGGTGGGAGCCATGATGGGGGATGAAAGACTTCCTGTCGGCGTGGGATCGCTGTGCAGGTGTCACCCCGCCGGCCAGGTGTGCCCCAGCAAGGCCGCGGAGAGGTGCAGCGGTATGAGTAGAATGCGAACGGAGAAAACCGACAGAGAGAACTAGTCAGTAAAAAAACAAAGGAGAATTAATAAAAGCTGGGTGAACCATAAATGTATATACCAGTGTTTCTCAACCCAGTCCATGGGGGGGGGGGCAGACAGTCCATGTTTTTGTTCCCTCCTTGGTCCTGGTTGGGAGCTGAGAGGGTGCAAAAATGTGGATTGTCTGGTAGGGAGCTGGGAGGATCAAAAACATGGACCGACTGTGGGTCCCCAAGGACTGGACTGGGAAACACTAGTACAGACCAGTATGACTGATAGAGGAACTATCAAGGGCACTATTTGGGTGAGAGAGTAGCGGCAGTTCAGTCAATAAAACTGCAATAATACAAGGAAAGATGAGATTGCAGGTAGGTTTATACACTCTTTATTAATGGTCTTTGATCTGAAGACTTTCTCTGAATCTGTGCATGACTGCAGCCGGCATCCATTTTCCTGAACTGCTTCTCCTTTAAGGGTTGTGCTGATGTGGAGTTTGTCTGCGGGGGGAGGGTGACAGGTAGGGGTGTGCGGACTCTCATATGCGCCGTGCACAATTTGGAGTTAGAAAAGTGTGTTTAAGATCCAAGGAGAAAATCAGGGGGAGAGTAAGATGGACGCTGTGGGAGGCAGAGGCAAGCCTGATCTTGGGTGGAAAATCAAGTGTCTCATGACAGTGGCCAGGTGCGTGACGGAAAGGCCCTCCCATCCTGTTTACCGTGTTCAGGACCAGCCGTGTGACCCCATGACGGCTCTCTGTAGGAATCCAACAGCAGATAAAACCACCCTTTCTGTTACTCTGTCTTGTCAAAGCCACCGACTGGAAGCCGAGATCTTAGTAAACACGAGTCAGGGACGCTCTTGGGTCTGGACCTTCCCTTCCTCCCATTAGACACTCTGTTCCTCTTCAGCTGATTAAAATCTCATCCAGGGAAATATCTGGCTTTGCGATTGACGTCTAAAAGCCCCTCAGTGGTATGTTTGTGCTCTACTTGTCTAACCTTTCTTTCTTCTAACTTACTTAAATTGTCATGGCTGCCTCTTTTTTTTATTCACACACATATGCATGCATATAAAATTCACTCTGTGGTGGTTTAACCTACTTAAAGATTTACTTGGCTAATTTCTGTGTGTCTGTGCGTGTTTGTTTGTGTATATAAATTCATATGATCTTAATGGAGTCCCAATATATTATAAGAATACAAATGCCCAGAAGTAGCCCACAGATACACACTTTCTAAAGAGAGTCTTTCAGAAAATAGCATTTTAAGCATCCCCCTTTAATTTATTTTTGTCGTTTAATATGTCATGTTTAATATTGAATGACTTTATTATGTTGTCAGCTCACTGCTAAACGTTTAAAGCCGTATGTACCGTGGAGCTGAAGATAAGTAGCAGTGTGTTTACAGCTACAAATGCAACGACCCAAGTGATTCATTGACTTGATTGAAAAAAGCAAAAAAAAAAACAGCCTTTATTGGCGTATTGAAACTGCAGTGTTACACCACATACCGCTTGGCCGTATAAAATCCCTTGCTAGTGACAAATCTTGCAAAATAGTATGAGTCCCCTTTCGCTGACCTCCCAGTGCACACGTTTACACGCAGTGTGTGTGTAAATTTCGCTTTCGAAGGCTTGGCTGCGTTTCCGCAGCCCGGCAGAAACGCTGTACGTATCTTCGCTCTCTGTTTTCCAAGCTTCAGGTCATCTGTGGGTAATTTTGTCTCTCAAATTCTATATTCCCACATTTCAAAGTTATCGTCCTACCGGTGACTGATTTATGCCCCAAAATGCCAGGAGAGGCAAGTGATCATCCTAGTAATGTCCAGTCAAGCGTTTGTACACAGTAATTAAATTAAACCAGTACAGCTCTTGTATCGAGGGCCAGAACTGCTCATCTCTGTCCTACATGTGACCCATATGTTGTGGTATTTAGTTTACACTGGTGTTTCCCTGAAGCATACACACACACACACACACACACATATATCTTTACATCTCTTTCTCTATCCCTCTAGGTTTAGCAGCACAGTTTTGGATGCTGTCACTCCCACTGACCCTGCATAATCTGAATGGTTGTCTGCCACAGCTTCTCTGGACGAGGCGGGGTGTCGTGACCATGTGAGGCGTGCTGATTGGAGGCAGCGGCAGCCGTCGTCATCGTCAGACAAAGCCTAACTGCAATCTGCCCGGCATCCAGGAGACAAAAGAGACAGACCCAGTCACTGCACGAAGGCTAGGGCGCAGTCCAGGTGTGGATTTTTGGATGTGAAACACGAGTCGTTATTGTGAGCTGGTCATCACTGTATCACAACTCTCATGAGGGTCGTAATCATATAGGGCCCATAGTCTCTCAAGTCACCATCTGGTGACGAACAGACCCACGTGTGACCTTCTGTGCTCTGCCTTAACAGCCCGGCACGGTGCAGATCCAGATCCTGCTGCATTTGTGTCATCCTTCCAAACGTAACGTTGATGTGAAACTTAGAAGAATGAGCTGCTGGTTGAGATACAGGACCATGCTGGGGGGGGGGTCTTTGGGGGGCTCTCTCCATGCCAGCAAGGGGGTCTGGCCCATTACATTTTGGTAAATGACATTATGATTCCATAAAATATTCTTGGATTAAATGTCCGCGAGTGACATTACCAGCACATTAAATATTCATTAAATTTTTGTGAATGACATTACCATTTAGAGCCGTCATTCCCAGTATTACTCACGGGAAGCCTTCTGCTTGAATACTAATTAAATTACATGCAGAATACTGTGGAGAGGGAATATATCCCTGTTCATTTGTTAGTTACTGGAGACATTATTTCAGGGCTAATATTTCGCCCTTTAACATTGTCTTTACAATGGGATGTAAGAATTTGTGAAATCTGGGTGAACCAGAAATGTTTAGACCAGTGTTTCCCAACCCAGTCCTCAGGGTGCCTCAGAAGGTCCACATCTCTGCTCCTTCCCAGCTCCCTAACACTGGAGTGGCACTTAAGAAGATGCAGACTTCCTACATGTTTACTATAATTAAATATTTTTTTTCTGGCTATTCCATTCATGTTTTGTGGTTTTAAGAAAATCACAGAAAATTGTATATTGCACCAAATGGGATACAAAAAATACGTGGCGGATCAGATGGGCCTAGAACAGATTCTTAGGATTTGTACTATCTGGTTGTGCTTGTGCACCAGGGGGCTGACGATGGGCCACACCTATGATGCAGTGAGACTGCAGGATGACTACACAGGAGAATGGCACACCAACTGGCTCCAGATCAGTTATGCACAGGTTGGAACACTCCTCTTCTGCTTAAGCTGACAAAAAATTTAGGTGTTGATTCCCTCTTCGTAGTGATACTTAGCGTGTTAATTCTAGGGTCAATATAGGCTGACTTGAAGTTTAGATCACAGTGGAGTATGAGACCGTTTTCAGAGAAACACTTTAATAAAGAAGTCACTAACTACAGCGTATTAACAAAATTATACAATGATAAAAATCAATTCCTTTTTTTTTTTCTACAAAGATTTTTAATCAAAAGTGATAGTGACTGACATGTTTATGTCCCAAGTCATAAATCGTTAAAATTAGTTTACAACCATTTACTGCTGGTAAATACATACTATGATAATACATACTATGAAATGTACATGAGTCTTAAAGGGATTTGTTTTTTAAATCCTTTGTTGAAACAGGAGAGAAAATCAGCAAATACTTTACAACTCAAAAGATGTCTCTTTAAATCTGTTCATTTATGTCTGTACAATAAATAATTATAAAATATATCTCTGTTATGAATTTGTTGTTTTTTTTTTTTTTTAGAAACATATGTAACATACAAAACACTAACCGCTATAATTTCCGAAAAAAGACCAGCTATTTCGGCAAAGGGAAATGAGATTCCTGATTCTTGCCAAACTGCAAATTATACAGGGAAATCTTTTAGTAGGCCAAGTTACAATAATGTGAATCTGGGATTCAAAGATGATAAAATTTGTCAGATTGGTTTGGTTCATTTTTGATCAAAATGGCCTCAAGAATTATGTTTAAAATGTTCAGATTTTTACAGTTTACAAGTTTACAACATATACAAATGGTCCACAGAATCTGATATGAAACAGTTATGAAAAATGTCACACTATTACAGGAGAAATCCCACGCAGCATAAAATAATTGTGGTCCAAGAAGGGGACCAAGGTTAACACTACTGAGCAGGACGACACAAGGAATGTTCTCGTCTTCAGTCGGGTACATTCAATGAACGTTACGGTTGAATCACTCACGTCCACATTGTCACATTGTATATCACGAGCAACCGCCAAGGAAGCTAGGCGACACTAATGCATGCTGGGTAAGTTCTCACGTTCAGTAGTCCTGTTTGTGCACCCTGCAGGTTTTCACGCTGTTTTCTTGGGCCACGGTGATAGTGGGGATGAGATTGTAGAGAAACACCTCTTTCTACATTCCTCAGCTCCCACCACCACCATTGTTGACCCCCCCCCTGCAGTTTCATAGTTTCATCTTCTTCACCACGGGGATGGGCATAACTTGATGGATTTTGGCCTTGTCTTCATCCGTCACCAGTTTTACCCAGTCGGGCTTGTAGTTGCCTTTAAAGCCGACAAACGCCAGTTTATCTGAAACAAGAGAAGCGGGAAGCCAGTTACACCTCTGCATATTGATTCCAGAGAAATGGCCAGGAGTGCTGCATAATAAACAGTGATGCACAGTGGGGCTTTCAGTGTGTATAAATGGTGGAATTTATACACAAAATAAAGAATGTAAACTGCTACTCGGGCTTGGGGCAGAATAGACACTTAAAAATGGCAATTATCCTGCTGTCAGCAGCCATAGCACCTGCAGTTCAGCCTCGGTAATCCACCTGAAGCTAAGCTGGTTTGGGCCTGGTCAGTATTTAGATGGGAGACGAACTAGGAGAGCTGGGATGCTGCTGGAAGAGGTGTTGGTGTGGCCAGCAGGGGGAGCCCTTCCTGTGGTCTCTGTGGATCCCAATGCGGTGATGGGAACACTGTGCTGTAAAAATGGTGCCGTCCTTCGGATGAGACGTAAAACCGAAGTCCTGACTCTCTGAGGTCATAAAAGATCCCAGGGCATCTTTTGAAAGAGTAGGGGTGGCACCCCGATGCCCAGGCAAACTTGCCCACTGTGGCCCTATCAAATCTGGCCTCCTGTATCTAATTGATGACTGCTCTCACCCAAAGTACTTTACAAAAGCAACCAGCACCACTATGTAGGCCCAACCTGGATGCCTGCAATAGCAGCCATCCTGCAGCCAGGAGCCACATACATGATGGGGTTTATGGTTAGGGCATATAACTTCTCATGTGATGCCCTAACCATAAACCCCATCATGTATGTGGCTCGTGGCTGCAGTGATGTGTACTGCTGCAGGACGGCTGCTGTCTAGGTCGGGGCTACATACGTGACATGGTTGAAGTGGTTCCCCATTGCTTCTGTAAATGGGGTGAAAAATGTAGCATTCATTCAGTTGATCTGGCACCTGGGCCTATGCTGAGAGACACCATGGTTCCACCAGGTTATCTAAGCCTCTTCACTCAAGAGAAGACATGGATTAGGGAATTTAAGAACACTGGAAGCCTGTTACAGGTCCAAAAAAAAAAGTGTGAGTACCCTACATTTTACTTTACTACAAAAGGGATGTTTGGATAGAGGCAGCATGGTGGTTAGCACTGGGACCTGGGTTCCAGTCTCTGCTGTGGCTTCATGGGTGAGGAGTTTGCATGTTCTCCCCGTGTTGTCATGGGGTTTTCACCAGATGCTCTGGTTTCCAGAAACACGCTGAGGCTAATTGGAGTCGCCGAATTGCCCATATCGTGGATGGTGTGTGAGTCTGCCCTGCGGTGGGTTGGTGCCACGTCGTGGTTGTTCCCTGCCTTGCATTCATAACCACTGGGACAGGCTCTGAACCTCCTTCCCCCCAATGTCCCTGAACAGGTTAAGTGGTTACAGGAGATGGATGGATGGATGGATAAATTAGAGAGCCCCCTGCTGGTTCTCTTAATCATTACAATACTCTGACAGCTGATGTTTTATTATTAATAACTGATTTTAAAAATGCACCATCCATTTTCTGTAACCGCTTATCTGTTTCAGGCTCACAGGGGGTCCAGAGCCTATACTGGGGGCAATGGGAGGGAACCACCCAGGATGGGGCGCCAACCCATTGCAGGGCACACACACTCACATATACACCTAGAGGCAGTTTGGTTACTCCAATTAGCCTCAGCATGACGGGGAGAAAATGCAAGGTCCACACAGCTGGAGCCATGGTGGAGACTTGAACCCGGGTCTCAGAGGTGAGAGGCAGCAGTGCTCACAGTGTCACCATGCACAAAGCATATATAATATAAATAACAAAGTCGGAAATGTCCCGTGGAAGCATATCAACAGGCAGGTTGGCGGTACATCACACAGACATAACATACATGCTGAAAGTTACCTTTCAACTTGACATTCTTCTCTGCTCCAAGCTGCTGAAGGATTTTGGTCCAAGGTCCTTTGGTGACGAGACGGCCTTTGGAGGTGATCATTACTATGGATCTAAGAAAACGCACAGAGATAAACAAACGATTTCAGTTTAACTAAGGTATCCATCTTCAGAAACGGGGTCCATGTTGGGCCTTATATAGAACTTGCTGCTACAGGGACTGGGGGGGTGCAAGGTGAGAGAGCCCAACCAGTCACAAATCCATCCATCCATTTTCTGTAACCACTTGTGTTATTCTGGGTCGTGGGGGGTCCAGAGCCTATCCTGGAAGCTACGGGTGCAAGGCAGGGAACAACCCATCACAGGGCGCCAACCCATCGCAGGGCACACACACACCACTGACTCACGCACACACACGCACACCTACGGGCAATTTGGCAAGTCCAATTAACCTCAGCATGTTTTTGGAGGGGGGGGGGGTGAACCGGAGTACCCGGAGGAAACCCCGCGATGACACAGGGAGAACATGCAAACTCCACACATGAAGCCACCATGGCGGAAACTCGAACCCTGGTCCCAGAGGTGTGGGGCAACAGTGCAAACCACTGCATCACCATAGTCACAGATCCAGATAAATAAAGTTTGTAAAAAAAACACAAAACATTATTAATAAATGAATAAATAAATTATCACACACCCATCAACACAAGTCATATTTCCAAGTATAACTCTACAGTACAATTTAACTTGACTGAACTTTTGTTCAAACAGTAAAATCGCCTTATTAATACATCACGGTTATACTGCCTGCCAGGGAGGATTGGAGCTCAGTGTGTGCTTCTTCATCAGAACGCTACATCAACTGGCTGATGTAAGGCGTCTGGCAAGTGTAAAGGTGACCCTTACTCGTCTGTGAGGCCCGACACGTAGCTCTCAATCTGCGCAGGGATGCCCAGTAGGAGGGAATTTCTGAAGCTTTTCTTGTCCAGCACGTTGCCACGTTGACCGTCGATGACCGTCAGCTGTACGCCTTCCTCGGGTTGGTACATCTTCTTCCCGTTCACCTGCAGGAACACGGCACAGCCTACGTCACATCGCCTTCACCCCGAAGTGGTGACCCTACGGAGCCAGTCTCAGTGGGTTCACGGGCCCACCGGAGCGTCCCGGATTAAAGCCACTCAGCGTGTCACGTACCTCCGCGTAGGCAAAGTCCTCCTTGATATGGAAGAAGCGAGTGTTGAACGACTCCAGTTTGACCTCCAGGAAGTGTTCTGTCACTTTGTTCTGGAAACGCAGAAAGATTCAGACAACTCTGTATAAACCAGGTTACCCAACTATAAATCCACCTGGACTAACATAAATACAGGGATTAATTATAAGAAACATGTGTTGAGTTTAAACATGAGCCAGGTGTTGCTTTTATAAAGCCTGGAGCTATTTGCAGGAAATTTATGACGTCGAACTGACCCTCAATTGAAGACGAAGATGACTCTTAAAAGCCCCAGAGAGAAGCCAAAGGTGGCGGCGATGAAATCCATCATGCGGCAAATCAGAGACGTGGATGTGCCATTAATAAAAGCGTATCCGGAAGGTGCCCTACCTGCGGCACGCCGGGCAGCTTCTGGGGGAGGGGCACGTCCACGACGGGCATCTCGGCGTACTTGGGGTAGGCCTGGGTCACGCAATCGCTGGGGCCGCTGCCCTTGGGTATGACGGCCTTGATTTTTACACGCTCACAGCCCTTCAGAGAGCAGAAGGCAAAGTCCTCCTTGTCGTTGTGGGCTTTGACTTTCAGGAAGAGGAGTCTGGGGAAGGAAGAGTATGGGGGCGGCCGTACTGATTATTAAAGGGACGCAGTGGGAGGATACATTGCGGCAATAAATATGTAAATAAACGCATTTCATCTCCCGCCGTCCATCCATCCATTATCTAACTGGTTATTCTGATCAGGGTCTGGGGGAGGGGGGTGCTGGGGGGGTTGGGTGCTGGATTTGATGGCACTCCAGTGCAGGCAGTGACTTACACTCTGAAGGGGTGTAACACACGTCTGTATTCACGCCTTTATGGGGACCATCCATTCATTTCTATGGGCAAAACCCTAATCCCAACTAAGACCCGAATCCCTACCAGCCCTAACAATAAATAACCAGAAAGAATACAAGGCATTTGGCATGTTGAATTTTTTGATTGATGTTGAGTTTTTATCACATTGTGGGGACACTTGATGCCCAAAGCATAATATGTTCATGACCGACCTACCCCCCCCCCCCCCACCCCCACTCCCCCCACCCTGAAGGAATTAAGTCACAGTGCTATTTTGTAATGTTGGTTGGAAGGTGGATGGATGGAATTTACATTTTCCTTCCCTGAAATGAATTAGTTTCAAGTTTTATTGTCATATGTTCTAAGGACCATGGTGACATTCTTATGCTGCAGTTTCAGGGTAGGGCCTCCCCTGACGGCATGGGGGGGGGGCAGGCAATTACCTCTAATTATGAATTACCATAATAGACACTACTTTTAATTTCCCAGTTTCTGTCAGAAGTGGGGCGCAGGCCTACCCAGTGTCTTCCTCCCAGTAATAGTAGCCGCGGTTCTGGTGAGAGTGTTCCACTTTGTTCCTCTGCAGGGTCCTGAGGAAGACGCCAGTCTTCCTGGTCTGTTTGGTCAGGCGATTGTGAATATCAGAGATGATGGTGAACGTGGTCCCTCTGGGATAGCAGAAACCCACATTGATCCAGTCGTCCCTATGTAAAAAAAAAAAAAATAAGACATATTAACCCCGGTCCAGTAAATCAAAGGTCATTGCAATTATTATGTTATCTCTGCACAGAATGTCAGTGTAAAGCAATTCACCCAAGTGACCTGCAGGTGGAGCCAAACTACAAGTGGGGAAAAAAACAGCATTGGGGTCACTGAGGACTCCAAAAACAAAGCCAAGTCTGCAGCCGTAAACCGTAAATAACACGTCTGGAATGCGCGTATAACATCTCTGTACAATGCCATAAAGAATGAACCTAAAGAATGTCGAAATAAACGACTCGCTCCCTTCGGCACACTGAGCGAGGAGCTCAGCAGCCCGCGGGGATCAGAAGCAGGCAGGGTCACGTGTGGGGAGGAGGCCGCTGCCGGTGAATCCGGCAAACACCGCCGCCGATCAGCGGAAAGGGAAAGCTAAACACGGCGAGGCGGCGTGTCGCCAGACATCTGAGCTACGCTATAAATATTCTCCCAGAAGGAAGCAGGAAGAGACCCACTCACTTCTGCGAGCTGGTACTCAGACTAGGCCGCCGACTGACCTGCCGAAGTTAATGAGCCACACGGTGACCTCGGCGGGGGCGGCCCCACTCCAGTGCACCGTGTAGCCCTTCCCCAGCATCACCACGGGCTGGTACTGCTGGTAATGGTTCTTCTTCCCAAGGGCCCCCTCCAGGACCAGAGGATGATCTGGGTACTCGTCCTTGAACATCCTCATGCTCAGGTTTGCCGGGTCTCGTGTCTGGATATATACCTGGGGGGGTGTAGGGTATACAAGGAGGACGTAGTAAGAAGACCCGTAAGAGGTCCACAGGGGGGTCTCCCCCCTGAGTCTTCATCGACCATCCAGGAGCATGCTGAGGGTATTCCTGACCTGAGCATAATGCCCACTGCATATCGCTGCCCGCCAGTCGGGCACGTCGATGCAGTCTGGGTGGCGCAAGAGCCAGTTGTCCTCCTTCACCAGGAAAGCGCCCGGGTACTCGCTGACCGAGCCGTCTATGTCGTGGAAGATGGTGGTCTTGTCGCCATCCAGCTGCATCTTGTTGAACCAGGGGCCGGGTTCCCCAAAGAAAACCCGCGACGTGATCTGATTGGACAGGAAGGTGGCACGCGGAGCTTTATCAGGGATTCCCTCCTTTATGTTGGCATCCCGGCCAACGCAGCAGCCAGTCGGCCGGCTTACCGGGACGTTGTCGAAGGTGATGTCGCTGACGTTGTTGTTGGGGCAGCTCTGCCAGGAGTTGTTGAGGCGGAAGCCCAGCGCGCTGGTGTGGCGGCCCTCCAGGGCCACGTACTTGCGAAAGGTGCAGTTCTGCACGTTGATGGGCCCGTCGTAGATCTGCATGCCGCGGATGGGGAAATCCCTGCCGGGCAAGAAGAGACGCGGCATCATTCCTTTAGCTGCAGCTGCACTGGTCTCACAATCCCACATGTAGGGGGCGCTGTGCGGCTTGGAATGTTTGGACTGTGCTAATGTGTCGCCCTTTTAGTTGAGGTAACATCTGAGGGATTAACACCAGCAAAATACCCATCAGTACCATGAAGGCACTCTGATTGGCCTGTAGTATAAGCTAAACGTCTACTACCTGATGACATGACACAACTGCTAGTGCACTGAACCATGGGACACGGGAATGGGAGGTAAGAAAGGGGATTAAACACAAGAGGAAGAAGAAGACAAAACTCAGCTTTGGCATCATCACAAGGAAAACAGAATACACTGAAACAGGCGTCGGGGGTCATTTGACTGGTGAAGCTACTTCCCTCCCAGTAAGCTGAAATACCCTGTTTTGCAAACCACGTCGCCCTCTGGTGGCAGGTGATAGCCGTGTGTGCTGTGTGGAGAGGATCCTAACATACTGTACATGTCCGCCGGTCACTCACACTCCTCTGGGGAGGGCTCTGCCAGTCAGATCCGGGCCTCCGGGCCCCCAGTTCTGGCTGTCCGGCTCAGACGTCCCCCTGTTCTCGCTCTCCCCCACAAACAGGGAGTTCCTCACCTCCTGCCGTGAGCCGTCATCGTCGGGGAAGGTCCCCCCACTGCACACAGAATGCACTCCCCTCAGACTGAAGCGTGCTCCCGCTTTTCCAAAGTGCCCATGTTGCCTGGCTCTTTCTGACAGATACCCCATATAAGGAATTTTTCAATTAAGAGAGGTTTGGGGGAAGCCGTCTCCTGACCAGCCCCTCGTCAGTCTGGCTCCCCAGACAGCAACAGTGATTGGCTGTCTTACCTTGCAAGCGTCAGGCCAATTCCATTATCAGCAAATCTAAGGAGATAAAGACTTTTGTTAAGGGGGTACAGATTCATTCAGTCAGAAGCACTTCAAACAGCATCGTTAGATGCTCGGGGCTCTGAAAGTGAGAGAAACGTCTTTTTTTCCCTCCTTGACCTGACAGGGCTTTCGATCACACCATAGTGGCTGGGAGGGGCACGGCACTCACTGGCAGTCATCTAACCAGACGTCTCCTCCACGCAGCCAGGCCCCATGGTCCTGGTTCTTGTAGGCAATGAAGTGATGGATCAGGGCAGGAACACGGGGCTTAAAGGGATCCGAGTCCTGGTGCGGCCCGTACCTGCAAACACAGAGACGCTGGACTGAAGGCTGCAGCACTCCCCACCAGGCACATACAGGCACATGGAGGCCAGGCACATACAGGCACTGTCAGTCACAGCCATGTCACACACACGCCAGGCACATACAGGCACTGTCAGTCTAATTAGCAATTTAATTTCAGCAACCAGGAGCTGAGGTTCAGCAGAACTCCCACCCACTGGACTTTCTGAGCCCTGGCCCAGCAGCACCTCCACCCACTGGACTTTCTGAGCCCTGGCCCAGCAGCACCTCCACCCACTGGACTTTCTGAGCTGAGGCCCAGCAGCACTCCCCACCCACTGGACTTTCTCAGCTCTGGCCCAGCTTCACAGGCTGCTCCTTCTAGGCTGCAGCATACGCCAGTTTTCCAGCTGTTTCCAACCTCAGTACAGGGAGCGGGTACACTGGCTCAGGCAGGAGGGTAATCAGTTTAACTGAGTACTTAAGTAGTCAGGTGGTAGGGACAGCTGTAGATAGACCCCGCCCACCAGGAACCCACCTGGGCTCCCAAGGCAATGAGGTCGTCATAGTGACGGGGGCCGTAAAGGAATGCTCACCTGGCCCCTACCAGCGAGAGGAAGGGTCTCTTGTCTTTAGCGTTGGCTTCTGTCGTTTTCACTCCGTTGTCCAGCATCAGTCCGGCCTGAAGCATCACATTAACTTTAATTACAATCCATTTATGTCCAACGTCAAATGAAACACATTCACAAAACTGAAGTCAAATCAATTTCTATCAGGATTGTAGCTCAGATTAATGTGTCAAATCCATTTACAGCAAAGCGTTTTGCTTGTCAGGCTTAAAGGTAACAGCACAGTTTTATTCATAAAATCTCAGTGGCTGCTGTCCTCAGTAACTCCACCGGTAAAGACATATTTTATAATGCACAGTACAGTGTGAGTACGTCATCTCAAAGTGACGAACACACCACACCAATCAGCCTTCCTATATTGGGTCCGCCCACCTAGTCCCGCCCACCTAGTCCCGCCATCCTAGTCCCGCCCACCTAGTCCCACCCTCCTAGTCCCGCCCTCCTAGTCCCGCCCACCTAGTCCCGCCCCACCAGCTCCGCCCTCACCCTGAAATTGGAGTGTGCGCGGTTGTTCTGAAAGAGTCCCATGGGGGTGTGCTCTGTGCGGCCTGGGGAGTACATGCCCTCAGAGGGCCCGGTGGCAACATGGTGGAAGATGAACCAGAAGCCGGTCTCCTGTAGAGACAACCCAAGATGGAAGGCAATGGGGGGCGTGGTCAACCGGAGGGGGAGACAAAGGGGTCCCCGCATGACATCTCTGCTCACCTCAGAGCCCGCTGCCGCACAGTTGATTAGGTTGTTGTTGGGGTTAGCTATCCAGAAGGTGGACGTGGCACTGCAATGACAAACACTGCTACTGAATGGCTCGTCCTGGATCATACACACTAGTTTCCATACAGAGAAGAAGCACAAATGTCTTACAGGACATTAAATGAAACACACACCTATGTAAGCTGTGCATATCTTTTATGTTTGCATGATCTTTTTGATGGTCCGACTTAATATCTAGCAATTGACAGAAGGGCTCTTTGTACATGTCACACGTTTGACACTTTTCAGTTCTCTACACTGCCCTCTAGTGGCGGCCTTGGCCTGACACACTTTGTTGCACTCCGTCCCACTGGCTCGCGCAAGTGTTTGCTGAAGTTAGACGCCTGGCTGGGCAAACTCATTTCAGACCTGCCTATGTGTGGCAGGATAAGCCGCTTTGTGGTAATGAAGGGGGACTATTGGGCCAGCCTAGTAATTATCAGGTCAAGTTTGTGACGGCGACCACAGCCTTTACACGCGGCCCCCCCGCCCCCGCCAGCTGCCAGGGCACAAAAAAAAAAAAAACAGGAAATCTGATTCTGTTTACCTTGACGCCGACCCCTGGAAATCTATTATTTCCAAGAGCACAAGAACTTAATTCTGATGATATTATAGAGTAAGCACAAAGCCATGAAGCTATTTGATGCTTGGCAGGTTTGGCTGGAGAGCCCGAAACGCGTATCACAAAGAAACCACAAAGCCTAAAATATGACTCAAAACAGCTGTAGGAAAACGACGAGAAGAATCTTTTCTCTGAAAATGATTGTTTTTAATTCCCCTGTTCCCTCTGTGGCTATTTTCCTTGAGGATCTTTGTGGACTGGGCCGGCTATTCCAAAACTACCTGCTTTTTTTAAGCAGAAATGTCATCCTTTGTACAGACTGCTGCTCGCTCTCCTCCTTGAATTCAACTAAATTCCAGCAGATTCATTCGGAGTTTAGGGCTGACTGAAGTTCAGCCAAACTGAACAGCATAAATCGCAGCTTGATGATTTTATTTTTTATTGTGAACATTTCATGGTGACAGGAGATGCCAACAGAGGATCTGCCTTCACAAAAAGTGCTTGAATATCACAAACAAAAACAGTCCTGCTTAAAATTAAGCCTTGGGAGAGAAATAAACATTTTTGTGGGAAACCTGCACTCAGCATTCAAAAATAATAGCTCGCATCTGCCGGTAAATGATTTGTGCAGCAAAAGAGAGCCACAGAAGTGATTCCCCCACATCTCTGCAAGATGACCTCAGATTCTCCGATTCTCCTACTGTGCCCCTGATGGACAGGCTGAGGACGGGAACAGCCTCATACCTAAAGCTGGCAGAGAAGCACAGAGCAGCTAAGCCTTCTGTAGGGCATGCTACACATCCGTCCATCCCTCCATCCATCCATCCATCCATCCACCCACCATAACTGAAAATCCACTGTCAGAACAGTCTACAATCTATCCCGGGAAATATTCAGCACAAAGCAGAGGACCTTAGTTGCTCTCTGGATACCCAGTTAAGAAGCTGCTTCAATGTCAAACTTCAGTACCAATTTGCACAATTTTCTCCACCAATCAGATTCTCTGTCTTAATGTCATGTCTTAAAATGTCATGTCTGTATGTTTATATGTCTTAGTATTTATATGCTATTTATTACTTACTTTTCATTGCACTAAAACCAACGAGAGCAATATTTCAACTCAGGGTACGATTCCACCCATCATATAAGACAAGCTGACAGTAAAAGACAGCTTGACTTTGACTTGACTTTGGAAACCAGAGTACTTAAAGAAATCCCAAATAAATATTGTGAGAGCATGCAAACCAGTCACACACAAAACTGGGGACAGGAATCGAACCCACAACCCTGGAGGCTACAGTGCCACCCACATGATACAGCTCAAAAATAAAATCCAACTTAAAGCTCTTATTTTGAGAAGAAAAAACAAATTGATCTCAGAAATTGAGAAATCTCAGTTTGCAGCGTCCTTATGAGATTAGCACCAGTGAAATGCTGAACAGCTATCAGGGCTTGCCTGCAGTCCTGGCGCGGGTTGGCCACGTAGCCCGGGTAAGCGCCATTGGTGATGTCCCGGCACATGCGGCTGTCACGGTCAGAGGGCAGCAGGGTTCCCGCCTTCACCATCAACCCCAGGCAGTGGTCGAAGGTGTTCCTCTCCTCGGGACCGTCCTCGGTGAAGAAGCAATGACCCAGGGCGTCATAGCCTACCACGTCCTTCACCTGCAGGCGACACAGAGTCAGTGCGGCTGCGAGTCAGCGGGGGAGGGGTACAGATGGCCGCGGGGGGCAGGGGGGGGTACGATGGGGGGGGTTTGCACACTCATTCTAGCGAAGAAAATCAGCCACATGGGGGGAATTAATCCGTTTAGTCAGATCACCGCGGTTGGCTTCGCAGCAGCCTGTGCTACGCTGGTGGCCGATCTGAGGTGGGCCGCGATAGACACCCCAACCAGCAAACACAGAAGTGCTTCTTCCATCTCGCATGATTCTCATTGGCTTTCGCTGCTGCTTGCCTCCTAGATGGATGATGTTATCAGAAGCAGCAAAGTTTGAATCCTGTCTATGGAATTCGACTTGATGCACTCAGCGTCAGTTTCCCTCCCATGCCATGATATCTGGCCCATAAAAAGTGAGCGGAGATAATAAGCAGCACTGGGATGACAGACGCCGGCCCCGGGTTCGAGGCAGTGTGCATACGCACTGTTTATAGTTTGCCTGATTGAGCTTTTGATTGACCCAGACAAACTGATACTTTAGTCCTTGTGAGACGTCGGGAAGTGGCTGCCACCAGTCGTGCAAAGTGCTTCACGTGACACGGCATGGCACACTCACCAGCAGCCCGTTGGTGCCGTGCACGGTGACGCAGCGGGAGAAGGTGTGGTGAATGGACAGGTCACGCACATAGGTGGGTGGGTCGTAGCCTCCACGCTGGTCCACGTCACCGTTCATGTGGAAGTGCACGGGGTAGTGCCCCATGGACTGCTGGCCCATGTGCTGGAGCTCCACCCCCTCCACGTGCACTGCCCGGAATCCGCGCTCCACCTGCACACACACGGCGGGAGTGCGTCACCACACTGCCCCCTGGTGGAACTCCAAGAGTCCCACGCCTCTTGTTGCTGAAGACAAGCATTAATAATTTATGGGACCCTGGGAACAACTGGATCAGAACCTGCCCCCAGAGAATCTGAAGAGTCTTTTACAACAGATACTTGGTTGCTGACAGATAGTCCTGTTTTCCAATTTGCCTGTGAGGTCTTTAACTGATCCAGACCTAATAAATCTCCCTGTTTCAGCGCAAGCTAATGAAACGAGGACAAACAAACACACGCACAGGGATCCCGTCATGGGGTTGGTACAGACACCCAGCCCGTCCTGGGGCCACTGGGCCCTACAGCCTTTCGGAGACGTCACCACCGGCATTTTACCGTCCTACAGCCGCCCTCTCCGATTCGAGACCGTCTTAGTTCATATCGTTATTTATCTCCTATACTGATTCTTTCGCCGGCATCCACTCACCACATGTTTAAAATCAGGTAGTAATGAGGTATGTTTTGAATCACAGCGCATTGCGACAGGATTGCAAATCCACCCAAGACCCCCCCCCCCCCCCCAACGGCCTACTGGATCACACGTTTAACACCTACACATCGCTGTCGGTCCCCCCCTCCTGAAAGCCAGATGCGGCGGGCAGGTCCTGACCCAGAGCCCCTCAGCCCGGCTGCCTGACCTACCTTAAGGTGTCCGCCGAAGGTGTCGAAGCTGAAGAACTTGCAGGCCTCGCTGCCGTAGCACTGGGGCTCCATCTCGCCCCGGATCTGGATGTTCCTGCTGAGAAGGCCCACCTCCGCCCTCATGTCCACCCCGTCCACCACCTCGCCCATGTGTAGGTGGGCTGCCTTCCCTGCAAGACATCACAAACATGGAGGTAACCAATGGCAGGTGAGTTAAACGAGTAATAAAACCAGTTAGACCCTGCAAATCTCACCAGCTGCAAGTATGACTTTACATGATTTCTCATACCCAGTGACTGATGTCTCCCCACAACGACATGGGGAGAACATGCAAACTCCACACACATGTGACCCAAGCGGAGACTCGAACACAGATCCCAGAGGTGTGAGGCAACAGCGCTAACCACTGTACCAACCTTAACATGCTAATTCGTACTTCATTTGCGGAACAAAGGTTAAAATGCATGGCAATTTCTTCTATTTATTCATTTATTTATTCTCATATCCAGTGTTGCCAATTTTGAGATTTTAAATTCGAGGCATTTACATGTATGTAACAGTTTTATTACCTTGTAAATAGTCTGTAGGTTTTGCAAACTACCCCAACGCTTTGATACAGCTAGTTTTAGGCTTATAATGAAATAATACAGAATAATACAGATTTCTTGAATGAGCATGAGCGGCACGCAGGATGCGTAAGTTGGCAGCCCCGCATTTCCGCTGTAGCAGCTACTGATTGCCGCACGTATCGCTGTTAAAGGTGAATGTTATGCACGTCCCTGGCTATAACTATAATATTATAACGTATGTAATAAAGTAAAACATCAGATTATTTCATCCGAGCCCAGATAAATCGTCAGGGGTTCCCAGCTTCGGCGTCGATCGCAAACGCCAAGGGGGCAGGCGCGCTCCCGGCTGTGCGTTCGCGGCTGATGATGACGGTTTCGTTCCGGTAACCGGGTCCCTGCAGCGCTGACACGGCTGGGCGGCACCGGGACGGCGGCACGCTCGGAATAAATTAGCTGCTTTGAAGACCGATGATTAAAACAATCCCGGCCGTCTTGGGATGGAGAGTTTTGTCGCGGCAGGTCAACCGGTCCTATGGGCCCCACTTCCAGCCCTAATATAAATAATCGGCGCCGGGACGAGCGCCCTTCGGGTGGAAATACCGTGCCGCGGAAGCGCTGTCATCCTGCCTTGATCCGTCTAACAGATTCACTTCACGTTAATTACAAATAATTCAAGAAACTCAACGCTTCGGATCAAGCTTAATTTACATACTTCAATTATTCATAGTTGGGCCTGCCGTATGGCTGATGAATGGATTGATGCTTTGCCTGAAACGGAAACAGAGGCTGTTTTCCTTATTCTTTCTGCGGTTTTCTCCCGGTTTTCATCATTTGTCAGTAGACAGGTGCCCGAGTTACCCCAGTCCTCAGAGCTGAAGCTGTTTTACGCCGCTGTACCTGTGGGGACTGAGACCTGAGCTCTGACCCATTCATAGGTGGCTGGATTCTGGTATTTAAAGTGCTTTTTTTTCAATGGGTGATATTTTTTATCATGAACATGTACTGTGAATTGAAGAATGTTAAAACATCGAGGCACATGTAAAAAACGGGGTTGATGAAATATGAAATCCTGCTTTGTGTAATGCAGCTTTGAACAGCAGGTGGCGCGGTTAAAGGCAATGATCCTACGCCTGCAACCAGCAACAAATCCCACAGGAGAACCTGCTCTAGTACCCTTGAGAAGAAGGTCTTAACCTAGATGACAAAGACAATATTATCGGTCTATAAAACAGAGTGAGGAGAATTTGTAATTTGGGTAAATGTGTCAGTGTACAGCAGCAAATTTGTACTTTGAAAATCAGACCAATCATGTCATTTTGTGGGTGTGTTTGTAATTATTACAGATCTCCCCAGAATGTGATTAAAAAAAAAAATCCTGTGACTTTTTATCTCATGGGGACATTTTTTCGGTTCCTATAAGGATAATCTCAATTTTATAAAAGTCTGTGAATAAATCAAAAAATTAAATGCCAAAAGTCTTGTATTTTGTTGGGTTGCTTATGGTTAAAGTTAGGGCTGGGTTGGTGGGTTAAGGTTATCATAGTTGCGATTAGGGTTTTGCCCATAGAAATGAATGGACAGTCATCACATAGATGCGTAAACAAACGTGAGTGTGTGTGCGTGTGTGTGTGCGTGTGTGTGTGTGTGTGTGTGTGGTGGGGGGTGAATTCCACAAATATTGCATGGAAAAGCAGAACCATTAAACACAGGTGTTCTTCACACACACTGTGTTTGAGACTGATCTACTGTATATGTTCAATGCATAAACACACTCAATATGCCATATGATCCCATCCAAAATAAATCGCACTACTAGCACTGCATGGCCCCGTCATTATTTTACACAAACGGCAGAAAGTACAGCCTCATTCAGGCATGTATCAGGCTGAGGACGGTTCTGCACGCACAGGATCATATGATAAGCTGGGTTGATATGCCTCATCACAAGGGCCCTGATTCCCCATCAATAAATGTGCACATTCCTCAGGAAGCTAATTACTGTGGCGGCGGTGCGAGGCGATCACTTCTGACAGGCCGTTCCTAGGGGAGACTCATCCTCCATTTAAATGATGACGTCCCCTGGAGCGGGAATCTTCTGAGGCATAATATTAAAATTCTAAATCGGGTGGCGACATTACCCTCCACGGTGCATGTGACCGTCCGGCAGCATTCGTGGAGACCTCATCCCAATCCTGCGAGAGGCTAGTCTCGCCGCGCGGTGGATGGATGGCTCTCTGATCCACCCCACACAAACGCCTCCGCCTCCCCAGTTATTCCTCTACTAGGCCTCCGCATGAGATCTGGCCCACAGACACGTAAACCGCTAGTGAGAAGGCGTCCAAGGCTCATTTGGAACCTGCTGGGGAGGAAACTGCTCTCCGTCGCTTCCTCGGCCCGGTAACCCAGCAGCCGAGGATTCGGCTCCCATGGCGTTTCGCCCCATCTTCACAGCTCCTACTTTCACGGTGAATCTCACCATCCCGGTGCAGGTGAGGGCTGTACACTGTCAGAAAAAAGATACCAATTTGTACCTTTGCTTGTCACTGGGGCTGTACCTTCAAGGGTCTGCCAACTGTACCCTAGCTGTAGGTAAATGTACCTTATAAGATACAGAGATGAATTATGAGGAACATTTTTGTACCATTAGGGTTACATTAATGTTGTTTGTACCTTGGGGATGTTCCTCAGAGTCCATCTTCATACCTTAAAAGGTACAATTACCTCCTGCTAAGGTACAATTGGCAGATCTTTGAAGGTACAGCCTCAGTGACAAGCAAAGATACAGTTTGGTACTCTTTTTATTTTTATTATTATTGTTGAGCTGGGGAACGTGGGCAGGGGCGGCCACCACCGATGTCACATTACCCCCCTCCCCACCTCTCCCCCCAAAGAGCATTCCTAATCGCAAACTGGGGGAGATACTGGAGCCAATAAGGGACCAGGAGGCATGGATTAAATTCGGGTCTGAAGAATTAAAAGCAGAGTCACACACCGCCGAAATGGGAAACCCTCAGTCAAGCGTAAACCTGCTGCACGCGATTACCGACGACTTTAAGACCAACTGGCAACACGTGGAAACGGGGAATACGGGTCCTCAGGTGAAACGTGTCATTTCAGACAGGCTCCTGGCCTTTAAGATGCCCTCAGCCACGTTCCTCTCCCCCTAAAATTGTAACGGTAGGAATTTGAACATTTATCACAGGCGATGGATCTCCAGGAAATCCTGGCAAGATCTTAGAGGAGACGCAGAGTAGTGAGATATGAGCTGCATTATGTTTATCTGCTGAAAAAAACGCCGTCCCTGCTTCCATTCCATGGTGCTCAGATCCCTGATAAGCCCAAGAAAGGGATTTTTCAGTCTTTAGAAGACAATCCATGAAGTAACACACACAATACTAATCAGCCTCAAGTACTCATGCCATGTTTTAATTATGAGTTGTTAAGGTGACACGCACCTACACCTCAGTATTCAGTATTACAATATTTTTTTTAAAATCGCCCAAATCTCTCTTCCCAGCTTATTATTTTGCACACATGAAAAAATAAAGCCAATAGACTAAAATCATCAAGGCATGAATTATTTAAAATAGGTACAGATATTTACTTTTCACCAGAACATCTTATTTCATTCACTGTAGGGTTTCCCACCAACTGCCAGCCAGTGAATTTTTAAAACCCTTTGTGTTTACGCAGCCCCCTACTGTTACAGTGGAGTCTAATTCTGCGCATGAGTCCTATAATTAACTCCACCCCCGCTGTGGGAAATTGTTTTCATTATATGTATTGGATGCCCCCTCCCACCTGTAGCTACTGCTGGGAGAATAAGGATGGAATGCATGCGTAACAACCCAAATCTGCCAGCAGGGGGCGTGTGCTGTGTGCTGTAAGGCCACACAGGCAAAAGGTCAACCGATGGGCCGACGGTAAGCCACTCCAATGGGCAGAGTCTAACAGCAGGCACCTGGCTAATCTGATTTGCTGAGATGAAAAAAAAATCAATGCTTCTTTAGAGAAATACCTAAGAACTCAAAGGAGGCTTTCACGCGGGTGTGGTTGTTTTCACAAGTTACACGATAATGGCAATATTGCATCAATCGCCCGTAACATCAAAAGGCAGAGATAATGGGAGATTGACCATTTACGCTTAGTCTCTTGTATGGCTGCACAATACATTTATACAGCTAAATATGAGCAGCATTTAACAGGACGGGGACATTGCTTCCTTTTGCTATATCAGGGCTGCCCAAGCCTGCTCCTGCAGATCCACCACCCTGCCCGGCTTAGGTTCCGTCCCCTAATTTATCACACCAGATACAGATAATCGGGCCCTTCTCTAGCATATCAGTATAAGAGTCAGTTATGTTGAAGCTCAGCTGGCTCTAATACTGAGATATTATTGAAGGGTCTGATTATCGGAATCAGGTGTGTTAAATTAGGGCAGCACCTAAGCTACACAGGGCTGCGGCCCTCCAGCTCTACAGTTTGACACCCCTGTGCTACACCCATGGTCCCTTCAGAAGATCTAACTGCGATTTGAGATCAAGGGAAACTAATCTGCTTTTTGGAGAGGGGGAGATGATGCTTACAATGTTAAAATAACATAACCTAAATCCCATAATTATAATTACCCATTATTACAAAGAAATTACCATGCACATGCAGTCCGGGGGTGTGGCAGACCAGGACGTTCCTCCTCTAACGGGCTTACTGTCAGCTGACCTGATGGAGAGTCAGGCCAGCATGGAGTGGGACTGAGCTCGACAGAAAGTGAGAATTTAATAAATCCGCCAAGCTACCAATGTGGAATCCAGACTTCCTGGATCACACTGAGCTGAACTCCACTGCCTCCCTGTACGCCAAAGTCTTTCATCGGCACACGGAGGCTTTTAAAGTTATGCAACAGTTGCAGAAGTATTACTTTATGTGTGGATGCGCTCAGGCAGAATGTACTGGCTCTCGGCAAATTCGAGAGTCCTCACCTGCCCGCTGTGGTCTGGCTCACAGTTACACAAGCCGCCCCCCCCGCACCCTGTTAGCCGAGGCTGACTCCCGGATTAATCCTGCAGAGCCCCTGGGTTCGAATAACACGCGGTGACCCATAAACCGAGTTCAGCTGCGTATCACGGACTAACCTACTTTCCGAGCCCCGTGAGGGTTCTGGAAACTGTGGAGAACCCAGAGGAACACCGGCTTCCAGAACCATGCTCCAAAAAGGGAGCGATACCACAGAGCATCAATAAAAAGAAACAAATACTTGACATGGGAATTTAAACCAAATAATTTCAATCAAAAACACAAAGGGGAAAACTCCTTTCTTAGCGATTTGGTGAGGCGTACAAACCCATTCGCAAAAGGCTTCCAAACATCACATTCCTCCAGGAATTGGTTCCTGTACCAGGGGGGGGGGGCAGACACATATGGGAGTGACCTTGAAAAATACACCATCGCTTTCCCTCAAGCGGTCAGGAGAATCCCTCTGGCTCGAGACAGTAACCTTCATGTAATCAAGCCTTTTTTTCCAAATATATCTTAGGAAGTCCTGGGGGGCAGGGAGGCTGTGTCATCACCCAGCCGGAAGCCCTCCGTCAATTCCCACAGATCCAGCACTCCAGGTTACCCAGTAAAAAAACAAAAGCGAATGAAATACAATATTTGTATGAACTGCAGGCTATCAGCTCTCAGTTCCATCTTGATGTTTAGCATCAAGATTGATTTATTCATCAAATTCATGTTCATCACATTCAGGTTCTTCTTTGGTTACACTGAATATCCAGACAGGCAGGGTGACACGCCTCTTATGAGAAAATTAAGGTTCTGAAAAAAATCACCTGTAACCCGTAACCATGAATGTTGATGGGCCCAAAGATGGAAAACGAGTCTCAGACTTCGAAAGACACTATATGTAGGCATAATAAGCTCACTGAAGTATAATATCAAGATATTTAATGGTGACAGTGTTATCCTCTCATTGTGTACTCGAGTACAGTCTCTGAAATGCTAAGAAACAACCCTTCACCAATCGATAGCATTTGCTGACCTTGGACCTTGACCTGGTTGGGCGCACAGGCAGGACAAGGGAGGACTGGAAACTCCTCAGCCTGATGCATAGAGAAGTCCGTGCTGGATACCACCACCGTGTCTCCGGCTCTCCAGCTGCTGCCGTCATCTGCCAGCTCCAGGATACTGCTGTTGGAGTGCGTGTCGATGGTGATGGTAGCCTGTGGCCTCACTGCAAGCACGTGCACACACACACACACATACACACACAGGACAGCGCTGTTGAGTGGGTGGGGGTGTCCGTGACCCCGTCCTGTTCCCGCTGTATCTCGCTCTGACGACAGTGCGCTTGTTTACACTTACTAACTCGGACGTAAAACCATAAAATTGCCGCATCTAATCAAGAAAACAAGGAAAACGTCAACGGTAAAAATAAACAAAACTTTAAATACGCAGTAATAACTGGTGCCTTCAAATAAACTGCTGTCGTCTGACGATAATGCCTGTATCAATTATGAGGTATGTAATGGACTGTAATGAGAATCCGGAACTTTCTGAGAAGGGCAAGCAATGGCGCAACCTAGCCTATCTAGGCCTCATGAGAAATGAGGTCACCTTGCTTGTAGTGAGGGACTGCAGTACATTAAAAAAACTGTCGTAGCAGTGAAGGTCACAGTCAGCATCACGGAAAAACAAAAGCTGAGAAATAAACACGCGTGCGGTTAATGTGAACCTCGAAACTCCTGGCACATCTGATTTACGGCACCGCAAATCTCAGCTTGGAGGGAAAAAAAAACAAGCTCTGCCTGTCCTTGGCTTCCGCAACAGTGTGTTACCTGATCTTATCGCTTCCCTGAAACCCAATAAAAACTTATCTGTGTCAAAAGCTACAAATATACATTTCAGCTGTGTACAGAATTTCCCTCTTCCTGGTGCCACCTAGCTGAACTATGTGAGGTCACCTTGTAGGTAAGGGGAAATCAGTGGCGTAGGTACCATCACAGGTAGAAGGTTCAGGTCCAGAAAGTACAAATCCAGACCAAGAGTTTATTTCAACCAACCAGTTAAGTATAAAGAGTCACATTCACATAATACTCAACTGGTTGGTTGAAATAAAATCTTGGTCTGGATTTGTACTTTCTGGACCTGAACTGTCCACGATTGGGTACCATTGTTTAAAGAGAATCCTCATCCACAGACCTGTGCCTCCGCCTAAGTACCTGTGAACTTGTGTGATTCCTAAAGATCGCAGGCTTGAGCACAGACAATCAAGCTTCCTGCCTCTGCCCCAGACAATAAAGCAAGCTGCCTCTAGAGGTGGACAGTTCAGATCCAGAAAATACAAATCCAGACCAAGATTTTGTTTCAACCAACCAATTGAGTATAAAGAGTCACAGTCACAGAGTACTCAATTGGTTAGTTGAAACAAAACCTTGGTCTGGATTTGTATTTTCTGGATCTGAACTTTCCACCTCTGCCTGCCTCTGCCCCATTAATCATGTTGGCTGTTATTTCGACTGCAGTTGAATGGGTGAAAGTACTATTCTACCAGAGGGGGGCTGATAAATGGTAGAGGCTGGGTGCTCACTTGGCATACGTACCGAGTTTCCCACAGAGAAAACGTACTCTGTAGTCCTGACACATCCCATCTGTCTGATCTTTATTGAGACACACAAATCCATAGCTCCTGTCAATCTTGTAGAAGATTTCTCCAGTCAGGTTGGAAGGCACCCCATCCCGGGTCCCCACCTTTAGTGAAGGAATTCAAAGCATCAGTAGGCTTCCTCAGAGCAGCGCAGGGTCTGTCCTGTCCTGTTACCCACTGCAGTCAGCCTGCCTCATCTTCACGGCAGACCACGGCATCACCCACACGTGTGTGGGCAGAGTGCTCCACGTGCTTTTACTTTTGTTTAGCTCACAAAACAGCATGCACCAATTCTCCACATAAGAGTGTATGAGAAAGAATTCCTAAAGGACTCACGTTGGTGTCTGAAGGACCATGCACATGATGGAAGGTCAATTGAATTTTATATTCAAGGACGTTTTGACCCAGACCTCGATATTCATCTAATGTAATGTGATTGGACAAAATGTCCTGAGGCGGTACACATCCTTGCAGAATAATCTCAGCACTGCTGAGCAGCATGGTGGGCTTTTGCAGGAAGACCGGGGCGTGGTGCTGGCCTCATTGGTCGAGACCCACCTCAATGTCCAGGGGACTGTTGCAGGTCCGATCGGGAAAAGCCTTGTGGATGTCAGCCAGTTTCTCCCAGTCCCCAGTCCCCCTCTCGTCGTCCCGGTTGAACCAATCGGTCCACTCGGCCTCTATAGGAGACGCATGGCACGAGTTCCATTTTACCCTCCAAATACAAGATGCCACTGAGATCTACACTCAAAGCTTTATTTCCTCTCAATTTGACCCCTCTTAGTCTAATTGCAAACAATGATTGAAGGGCTTTCTCCCAAACTCTCGCTCGTGACGGCAATCACAGAGCACAGCGAAATTACACCGCCTGCCTGGGTTTCATCAAACGCAAACACAGCGCACAGCACTCAAGATTCCCCCCCAGCATCATAAATGACCGTGATAACCTTCAGGAGCGAGGAAAACACAGAAAAACTAGACCATGCTTATGGCTGGAAATCAAAAGCCTATTTTTCATGAGGAAAACCAGAAGAGGACAATCGTTCCTTAGACAGTTATTATATTACTCTTGAACGCCTACTGTCAGTGGCACTGTGAAAAGGTTTGAAATAATAACAGGAAGGACCCACATCTCTGTGGGTCCCTGGAGCTCTGTGGTTTCCAAACTTGTAGCTGGGGTTACCTTGCATCCACTGGCTGGTGGCAGTGATGGTGAAGTGGTCACCGTACACCGACTGGAAGACACGTGAACTTTGAGCTTCTGAAGAAGCCTTGGTGCCTGTTAATTTCAGCACACCAGTAAGTCAGAGAGAGGATTTATGTTGTAACATGTCATTATTGTCTATAGATGATTTTAGCTCTTCATAACAATGCTTAAGCACCCTCCTCCTTGTTCAGTAGTCAACCTCCAAACCCTTGCTAAGATTTGCACCATCTAGGTAAAAACTATCCAGTAACCTGAAACGAAGTTTGGACAACTTGGGTACTGTGTCTCCTGGAGAATCTTTGGGTACCGCTGGTTTGACTTTGTGTTGAACAAGTAGTTGCTCAGGGAGCCCCAAATGAGGCACATTACCTGCATTGTGAGGGAGCATCGGTTACGATACTACGGCCATGTGGCGCGTTTCCCTGAGTGTGATCAGGCTCACAGGATCCTCATTAGGGACCCGAGTGGCTAGACCAGGCCAAGGGGACGCCCATGTAAGACCCAGCTGCAGCAGGGAGACGGCCATTTCTGGTGGGTGGGACTGGACCGCATGTTGGCTTGGGGGGGGGTCGCCAACTGGGATCTCGAGGTGTTTCGTCGTGTGGTGGCCATGGCAACACACTGTATCAGTGCATGCTCCCCAACCTGACCTGACCTGGTAAAAATTCAACTTTCCAATCACGCTGCTGTCTACTCCCCTAAAGCCCTCCCTTCTCCTCACATAGATTGATTAAGGAACCTTCTGGTCACATGTGTGGCTCCTTTAACCAGCATTCCATACTTTGCGTACTAGAAAAAGCATGCAGGACTTCACCTTGGTAGATGGCGTGATCTTCCGTGGAGGATGATGAGTCTCCTTTGACTGTAATGAAGGTCCAGGGGTGTCTGTTGAGGGAAAAAAAGGATGAGAGAGAAAAGGAGGGAAAAATTCTTCACTTGACACCTTACCTCTGATTGACTTTTGTAGGAAATGTAAAAGTCTGGAATACAAATGTTTACAAATACAAACCTCAAACCTCAAGATCTGTTTACATTTCACACCTGATTCAGATTACATTAAATCACACTAAAAACACCAGTGATTGTTTGTTCACATTCAGGCTAACTACACAAGCAAATTATGTGCATGAACTTGTGGATTTTACACCCATAATGCAGTGAGGGACCTGTTACCCAGCCATGAAATGGAATTCTAGGCACGAGTGCTATTTATGATTTCAAAACCTTGCATGTTACAATGTTGCTGGCAGACCATAAGCCATACCCTTCCCTCTGTCTGAATTATTTGGCACCAGTGTTGGAACAGAAGGCAGCACTGCGCTTGATGACCGCCACCACGACATTTCTTTGGGGTGTGAAGTATTCATGCAGAAATATCTAAACACAACTTTTTAAAAAGTTTTGCTCTAAAACACTAGGCCGCCTGATCAACTCCGCCACTGCATTCGCTGCCTCGGCTTTCCCCCGCGTCCCTTAATAAGCCCACTTCTTCATTTGGGTAGTTTTATTAATATCATACCACACCCTGCATTAAGCCAAACAAACAGCTCCGGACGCTTGCACCCTCAAAAACTGCGGCAGAGCAGGAATTCCGAAAGTAATTATGTCGCATTCCATTCCCAGTGCATAATTGCTTGGCCCTTGTTAGGTGTTCAACATAAGTGTGAATATATGTTAATCCGCCTGGGAAGATCTTGCAGGCATTTCCCTTGCAGTAGCTGCAAGCTGTTCTGGTCAACATTACTGTTTTATTCCATGTTCTCATACCCTTAATTCCAGAATTTGTTTGGTGCGAGTCGCTGTAGGCCGTCTCCACACACACTGAAACAAAAACCAATACCTCTTAGAGTCCGCCAGACGTGGGCAGCCCAAAAGAGGAACCCTGCAGCATGCGGACAGTAGGAGGCGACCCACTCAAACCCGAGGCCGTGTCCCGTGGGAGCCATATTGTGACAGCTTTGTCTCAAACTGCCCTCGATTGCCGCTCTTAGCAGATACTGAGGTTCTGCTATGCGGACAGTGGAGGAACCGTACCGAAAGCCCAGTCGGTGGAAGTGCTGGCTTCCAAGCTTCGTCATGGCCTTCTTCGCCAAGTCCTCGAGGTTATTGGATCCCTCGTCATTCACCACCACAGCCATAATCATGCCGTCGTCCACCGCCTCCACATACTGGGCCAGACGCCGGCTCTCGTCTTTGCTCCTATATGTGTCAAACCTGAAAAAAAAAAACAAGCAGGTGAACTTATCAAATGGAGGTAATGGAAAATTACACAGCCACAAAACTGACAGATCTGTGGGCAGAACTCAAACAAAACATTTCTATAAATACTTTGAAAGTTTTCTGCCTGGCCCTATAAATCCAGAATTTAACCTTTCCAATGTTTCCTTCAGAAAATGTACATTATTCCTCAGAGAAACCATCAGACCAGGACGCAGTTTTCACTGCTCCACTGTCATCCTGATTTTAGCTCACTGTGGTCCGATGTCTTCCTCCACCTGAACTGTCATAAGATCAAAGAGGTTCAGCACTGTTCTAACAGAACGATGGTCTCTGGGGCATGTCTCCTCTTTGTCCAGTGAAGAATCATCTTCACGTTTCACAAACCTGTCAAAGTGGAGAACATCCCCCGTCGTGGGATCGATGACGTGGACGATGATGCCCCTGTTACCCCAACCTCTCTCAAAATAATAGTTGGTTTCATTCGTCTCTCCTGGATGCAGCGTTCGGTTCAGGAAGGTCCAAGCCAGCTTCTTCTCCCCGTGGATCTCGAGAGTTCCTCCTGTACCCACCCCGATGTACTTCCGGCCAAAGTAACTGTGAGCAGTGTCAGTGTCATCAGATCTGCCGAATCCAGACATACCAAATTCGTAGAGAAACGTAAGACATCCACAATCAGAATTAAGCCACTTATGCAGACATTGATTATTCCCACTCATCTACATACCTTCCATACAGGATGACAGTGAGGTTGCCTTTGTATGGGCAAACTGGGCTCCCAATGTGAAGCTCCCCCTTGTTCCCAATTAGTATGTGTTTTGTCCGTAGAACTATGGGTTGGTTGGTATCAGCGATCACAAGCTTTCCTACAAGAAAACAGCTGTTATGGAGACACTGGGACTCTTTGTGTTTGGGCCTGTAAATTTCATATTGGCAGCACAATAAGATAAAAACCATTTGCCTTTGGGGAGACATTTTTGTTAGTCATAAATCCCAGCAAAACCCCTCCCAAATTGACATATACATTAACAAATAAATGTCACAAACATGGTAGCTGCTTAATTTAGTGGCAATAGAACAATGCAAGGATGAGTCACAGAGAGTCAGTGTCCATGTGCTTGTTGGAATTGGGACATGGAGGCACGATGGGCGGCAGCAGGCAGAAAGGAGCATATGAAGTGCTGGGTCGTACATCATCCTCAAATGAGCCACATCTCCACTGGGAGGATGGGTCAAATTGCTCAGAAGGGACCACAGTCTGGCACCCTGGCTTCAAATGAGTCCAGGCTCAGTCCTGTAACCCAGCCAGCCCTCCTTGAAAATCTGCTCCACTCACCAGCCTCCCTTCACCTTGATAAACCCCCCACCAGCAAACAGCAGTGAAATAAGGCATTTCTTTCTGGCCCCACTAAGGCCCATACACCTTGTTCAGAAGTGAAGTGATATTCCTTATAATCTCTACAGGCGGGTAGGGCTTGCAGTTGTTCCACCCTCTCTCTCTCTCACACACACACACACACACACTCACACTCACACACACACACACTCACACTCACACACACACACAGACCCTTTTTTGCCTCAATGTCCAACCACCAACTCCAGTGTAATACCCCTCGTTTTGGGGTTGGTGCCTATAGAGGAGACGTCTTTCATAGTTCCAGAGTGAGCCATACCTCCATCAACGATCTCTATGGAATGCACTGTGGCCGAGGACGTGAGGAGCACTCTCTGACCAGGACCGATGGTGACGCGGTGGGTCTCCCTGTGCCCAGGGGTCCAGGGATGAAGGCCAGGCTCTCTGTCCGGACAGGCTGCAGCAGCAAACACAGCCATCAATTCCTAGTGTCTCCTATGCATCACTGCGCTGCGCGATAATTCTTATCTTAAACTGAGTCGGGGGCTTGAATTGAAATGAAGAAAGATGTTAATGATACTGATTCACTCTGAAATTAGAGGGGGATTGACATTAACAGCACTACTGCAGAAAGATACACACACACACACACACACACACACACACACACACAAACACGCAGCCTTTGGTGAGTTAAGAATGAACCGTCGCTGCTTAACTCATTTATTTCCTTTATTTAAAAAAAAAAAAAAAACATGAAGGCTCCACAAACTCAGGCAGGTAAGTCAAGGATAGAGAAGATTTTGTTTAAATCACACATATATAAATGAACTATTAATAAAGGTCTTCCAGCCGGCGTGGGAACGTCAGAAGGGATTGTGATGTCAACTTGACACGGATCCTTAATCCTCATCGATCCTCCATGAAATATCTCTCTGCACCGTGAACTTAATGAATGTTAAAAATAGAAGAGAAACAAAAATAACAACAGCTTGACAGGAATAACGGCTCCACGTCGGTTTTCTCGATAACACATGCTGCACCTCTAATACTGCGAAAGCAGCCCTCCAATCCAGACATGTAATCCTATTAAATCAGGGAGCCTCTACATAAGATTACCAGGCATTAGCATAAACGCATTTCATCTTATACAGTAGGTTTAATTTTTGCTGTCGTGTAGCTTGTTCGTGCCTCTGGAAACAATTATACAGAGGAAATACAGTCCTGCAAGCCCCGTTCCCGGATGCCCTTTAAAAATACTGGAATAAAAAGTGAACCAAACCAGAATATGCCGCATTTAAATGAGTCTATAAATAACTGAATTGCCTGCTGTTGGGACCCATGCGCTCGCGTTCCAATGGAATCATTGTGAGGGCAGGTTCTGCGGGAGCGGATGCAGTCAGGACAGAGCGCCGTCGGGCCGGGAGCTGACCCATTCTCCTGCTATAGGGCTTATCCATGCTGGAAGGCTCCGGCAAAGCATAAATAAGCCATGAGGATTAATGGCAGCCAGAGGATGCCCCCCCTTCCCCTCCGTGCCTGCAATCCAAGTCGTGTTTCACAGTGATAAATTAACACATTCCCTCCTACTCAGTTAAATCTACGCAGGCTTATCACAGCAGTGGCCTGGGCAGGACCAATAAGCATATCATGCCAAGCTGCACCTCACGCTAATCCAGCCCGGTTTAAATGACGAAAACATGGGTGCAAGTATACTGCTCGTGGTTACTACGCCACACATGGACGGTAAAGGTACCACACAGAACAAATTATTACAGTACTAGTCAAAAGTTTGGACACACTTACCCACAGACAGTTCATTTGTACTAACCTCTATTTTGTAGGAAAATTCTAAAGACATCATAACTATAAAATAACATATTTGGATTATGCACTGACTGCAAATCCCATGGTCAGCAGAGTGATGTCACCATCGGGCCCTTGAGCAAGACCCTTATCCCCAATGGCTCCAGGGACTGTCTGCCCCTCCTGTCTCCTCTACACCAGTGTCCTGAGGTGCCTCCTGGGATGCTTTCCCAGCTGTCCTGATGGAGGTCCCTCATATATGCTGAGCTCTCACTGGCCGCTGCTCCTTCACTCTCTGGTCAAACTCCTACAAAACCATCTCTACTGTGTTTAGGTCAGGTGGCCAGGTCATGTGATGTGACACTATCACTCTCCTCTGTAGGCAGCTTGGCGATTCTAAACTTTTCACTGGTACTGTAAAAGAATTCTTGAAATATAAAGCATTTCAAATACAATTCACCTAGACCTTTTCTCTGCAGAACGTAAATAATGCATGCATTAAACAGCTGTGAAAGGAATGTCCATATTTGAATCACAGGGCCGGGAATAATTATAATCCGCCCATCCATTTTCTGTAACCACTTATTCAGGAATCATCATAATTTCGCCACAAATGTCAGCTCATGCATCTTGGTACATATCTGCCCTTCTCAGTGACAAAAGAACAATCGTCCAGCAGTGTAAATGCTGATGTGGATCGACAGCCTACACTATCAGAAAAAGGCTACGGCACTGGTACAGTTTTGTTCCCCAAGGTACAAACAACATTCACGTACCCCCCAACGGTACAAAAATGTCCATTTCTATACCTTAGACTAAAAGGTACATTTACCTACAGCTAGCACACTAGATGCAGCCCCAGTGACAAGTAATTGTACCCTCAAAGGTTTTGACAAGGTATAGAGAGGTATGCCAGCAGATTGGTGATTCCATGGCATCACAGCCTCTGAAAAAGGCGGCTGTGTGAACCATGAAGCTCCAGGTCAATGGAATAGAACCACTTGTCGTTGAGACGTCGCATGCAAACGCAGCACACACGGAACACACGGAACACGCCCACGCCCCATCATTACCGCTGGAACCCAAAGCCACGCCGGGGGTTCTGCGCGCAGCTGAATCAGCAGCTCACGCAAATGCAGAAAGCAGTACGTTACTCGGAATAATTGTCTCTGAGGTACCATGAGGGCCTCCTGTGACTCACCTGCTCGGATGCTGGGAAACAAGAGTAGAACGATGAAGATCCTCATTTTCAGGTGGCTTCAGCTGGTTCGTCTTTTGAGTTGCAAGGCACCTGGAAAGAAAGAATTGTTTAGGTTATATGAGGGCAATGGGCGGCAGCCTAAAACAGCCGGTCGTGAGCGGATTCAAGAACAAACATCTCATAATGACTGCCGGGTCCGTGTCCCTTTGGGAAGGCGAGATAAACATTCATTCGAGGACCATGCCACCTCGAGTGGTTAAGATCTCCAAAGTTTCTCGGCTAGTTTTATCTTCAAAGAGGTTTTTTGTGAGAGCATTTCCACCCTGACCTCCAAGGATGAAAGAACTCTGGATAGGAAAACAGAAGCCATCTCACTCTGACAGTCCTTCACCGCTAACGAGAGTAGGGCCAAACGAGCGCATCGGTGACGGAGTCAGCGGTCAGTCTGACCTGCAGTCCCTGCTGGTCGTTTTCAGGACTGGGAACACGGTGGGTGTCAGACAACGACACGCGTGTATATGCGTTTGTGTGCGCGTCTGCGCACATGCGTGCATTTCTGTGTGGCGTGTGTGTGTGCTCTGTGTGTGTGTGCTCTGTGTGTGTGTGTGTGTGTGTGTCTGTGCACTCATTCCCTTGACAACACTGGTCCAATTAATGGAAAATATTTGCTATTTATACTGACACCTTCCACCAGAATCAATGAAGTACAAAGTTACTGCATGCCATCATTTCGCTAACAGTTTTGAATTGATCGCTCAGAGTGAGTAATTAAGGACAGGCCTCCTGTGAATGCAGGCCGGCCGCCTGTGGCCAGGTTTAACCAGTTTAGTGTCTGTGTCGTCAGCCTCCCTCTGCTGATTACCCAGAAGCCCTGGAGTCAGGAACACACATCATTACGCTGCCCGGGTCAGCTGTGAGTCAGTATTGAGCGGCCATAGCTAACCAGCTCACAGCTTGCACTGACACGCTACTGAGGGGCCCTCAGACTCCGTGCTGGGGGCAGCGGCCTCCAGGCCTGGGGAGGGGGCAGCCCTGAGGGCTTCAGCACTAACCTGTCAATTATCACCCAATATTTACGTCATATGACTCGACTTGTGCATCCAGGCGAAGGAGACAGAGAGGAGCGCCCCCTGTCTGCAGACACGGGCGATGTGGCACGCCTACTCTTGTTAGCGGCCCGGTGTCAGGTAAAGCCAGTGACCCATGCCATGGGTAGCGGGGGTCTAATCAAGCACCTGCCAACCCTGTCAAAAACATGTGATTCTCCCCCATTAAAAGCATAGTACAAACTGCGACTTCATTATCCAACTATTACCATGGCAACTTCACTGGGAGCGATCCCATGGAGACCCGCACGGTACGGAAGTGCTGGGAAGGCACCTGCAGGCAGACCAGCCTGGGGGGGGGCGCGGGTGTTAGTGGGTGGGTGTTCGTGTTAATGAAACAGACAGGGGCGTGTCTGGGGCTCTGGGTGCCTGCAGCTGCTGAAAAGCCGGTGCTCTGGATCTCGGCCGGGACCTCCGTGACCCAGGAGGATGCAGCTACCTCAGGCGAGGGAAGAGATGGTGCGCACACAGCTGCGGCCAGCACCATATTATGTACCTCAGCTGCCTCGGCCCCCTACTGGCCAGTTTGTGGGCCTGCAACCTGTGAATTCATGGCATACAAAAGTGACCAAACGTGGTCAGGTGACCGGCGTGTTATGATTTCCATAATGATGGCATTTAAAAGCGACAAGATCCGTTATTCCCTTTTCTTTAATGAGAAGAAGGAAAACCCCAAGAACGTTAAATTTGCTTCCTTGAAGTTACATAACAAAAAGTAGCACATCCCAGATGACAGACTCGGTGCCCAGTGACACCAGAAATATCTATAGTGTAACAAAAAGAATAAATGAGGCCTGAAATGTGCCGTTCAAAGGCAGCACCTGGCCTTGTTTTATCAGCACATCAAAGCCGGAGCTCGATGTCAGCCTCACTGACGTCAGCTTCTGCATCATTAATGAGCGTGATTTGTATTGTGCCCGTTAGCAATTTAAATCACTTTAATCTGAGACTGGGCTGCTCACATGACCACCCCCCCCCTCTCTACATAGCTAGGAGGGTCTCCCCCCCCCCCCATCGGGCAGGACAAGGAGGGCGGGTTGCCATGGAAGCGAGTCCGTGTGATAGCCGCTTTCACAAAGCATTACATCACTTTTCCGGAGATGGATGGAATTGGCTCTGAAGGATCCGGGGACGATAAAAGCAGCTCGGGTATCTGGGAGGTTCCCCCGGTATCTGTCTGAGAACTCCGGAGAACGCTGGGCCCAAATCCTGCTGGAATGCACATGCGATTGTGGGGAGATAGGCTGCAAGCGTTTGGGCTGATAACGCGGCCCATGCTTATCCGCCCAGACGGACATCGCAGACAGGAGGCCCGTTCCCATTCGAAAAACAGTGAATCCGGCGTTTTCAGATTTCTGAAAACGTTTCAACTGGCACCTCACAAACATGTCTTCGAGCCGTCACGTGATTTATACGGAAAATCGACGTTAAAGTAGGGAGAACCTGAATGGCCTCTGTGGTGCAGGGAAAAACGGAAATGTTGATAATGTCCTGGAAGCGGCTGGGACATACAGTATATAAAAATATTTACGTATTCTTACCACTCTCCCTGTTATATGCTCCCAGTGCATAGAACTGGCTCACAGACAGTAGCTTCTCAAGAGGCTCTCCGCTGCCAAATGTACACAACCAGCAGTGTTCCAAATATAACTAAGTGTATAAATAAACCAAAAATCACCCATAAGATCCATTCAGCCATTAGTCACAAATTCGACAGAACTTCGCAGAATGAAAGTCAGAGACGTTTCAGTATCCCAAGGACACCACACTATGGAATGCAAACTGCAATAACTGAAACCATTTTTATGCGTGACTGCGCGACAGCTGTGTTCCAGAATTTTCTGCTTCTTGCTTATTCACTGAAGCAGTGCTTTCAACATCCAGTAATTCACTCCAGAATATATAAATACATATGTACATACATACACACACACACACATATATATATATATATATAAAAATTAGAGCAGTCTTAAGCGATCTCAGTACTGCGAGATCACGATGGCTTCCTCTGTTGCTGAGCATTACTAATTCAATGGACCAGTTAGATTATACTCTGAAACATAAGCTAATCCGTGACTGACTTGGTCTCCAGACTTCATTACAGCATGACCTCCAGAGGCCCCCGGCTCCCCTGTAACGCGATGCGGACGTCTTCCTGTTACTGGCCGACTTCCACGCTCTGCCGTGACGTTCGCACCAACGGCTCCTGTATGGCGCTGGCCTAGAACTCACGAGCGTCCGGGACCTGATCACACATCAGCTTGCAGCCTGACAAACAGCCTCCAGAAAAAAAGGTTTTTATTGGCTGAAAATATCATCAGGTTAATGGACCCCCAGTCTGTGTTTAGCGGGCAGCCTTAAGGCCTTTGACATCCTAGCAGGGAAACCCTGTGACCTCATACCAGCAGACTTAGGGTTCCTAGTCCTTCCCGCAGTTCTGCATGTGGAGTTTGCAGATTCTCCCTACATCTGCACATATTTCCTCCAGTTGCCTTTGTTTTCTCCCACAGTTCAAAAAGATGCTGTTATGTCAACTGGTGCCCATAAGTCATTCACTGTGTGTGAGTGTGTGGCCCGTGATGGACCACCATCTCATTCAGACACCTCCTGCTCCATGCCCTTTGCACTGGGACAGGCTCCAGGTCCACCCTGACACTGTACTGGATAAGCAGTTTGGAAAATTGATGGGAAAACAGGATTGCTTGCAAAGTGTTAAATTCCCCACTGCCTCCTACATACAAGAGCGGTGGAGAACCATCCACATTCCAATGTCAGGGTCACATGGAGCCCGGAGCCTATTCCACACAGCATACGGGGCCGGGACACATCCTGGGTGGGATGCCAGTCCATCACAGGACACACACAGCAGGAAATACAGAGAAGCCAATTAGCATAACTGCATGTCTTTGGACCACGGCAGGAAACCCACATGCCGCCTGGTGAAGATGCAAACTCCACACTCACAGAGCAGAGATGAGGACCAAAGCCCCGGAAAGGCAGCAGCCCTACCCACCAACCAGTGCGAAGAAACATCTCCATTTCATTATGTGTCATTTCACATTGCAATTAGGGGTTTAGTAGGATCTCTGGAAAGATTATGATTTAACTACCAAGTGCAAGTGAAACACTTGCATTAATCAAACAGTTCTGCTTCCACAGAACTTCAAGGCAGGCTCAAGGGAGGTTAAAAATACATTTCCAAAAATTAGTAATAAGTAAATAAAATACATAAATATCCAAAGCCATGTGTTAAAATACAAATAACACTACTGCAGATAAGTGCCAAATGCACACAGTATGTACCACAGAACTTTCAAAGCATTTTTAAGTTTGACAAGGATTTTATTCCATTTTACAATAGACACAGACGGCTTTAATGCATTTGCCAGCAGCTCCTCCCTAACCTTCGACAAACAGACCACTTTAAATCTCATGTTCAATCTATCAGATGGCATCTGCTGCTCGACCTGGCAGATTGCATGGTGGGTATGGGGCGTGACGCACAGCCTGAATGGCCGTCCGTCCGCACACGCCCGACCGTACAGGGCCACTCCATCAGCACACACAGCGGGGGGGGGCACGCCAGGAAGGCAAGCGACACGCCGGAGGACCGACGCCCTGCAGGGTCTGTCATTCTAGGATGTACCTCCCACGGTGGGAACTCCTTGGCCATCTGATTCCCGAGATCCGGCCCCCGGGTTCACGCACAGGTACACAGGAAGGCTGCAGGAACACCAAGTGGCCCGGGAGTCATGATTCGGTTCTGCTGGCACCAGTTCTGGTTGGCGCTACTAAGGAGGGCAGCTGCCAAACCAGCTCTTCGCTCCCTTCAAGCCAGACTTTGAGGGTCATGCGTTTATGGGCCTGTAAAAGCAGCACGAGCGATCTGGAGGAAAACATTGGAGAGAAGGCTGGTCCGTGTTAAAAGTCTGGATGTCTGCCTCAGTTTTAGGCCAAGGCACGCGAAGAGGAGGTCTTTAT